GTAGCCATAGGAATAGTAGATTAGCACAAAGACAAAATGTAGTTAAACCTGCAAGACCCGTTTTGTTCGTTTGATATCCTGTCCTTGATCATGAGGTGTGTTAAGGAAGATCCAGTTACTGTAGTGAGGCTGACCAAGTGTTTAATGTCTCTCGTTCCCAGGTGATCACGGTTTACAGCGCACCTGGATTGGACCCCGATTGGATGATTGGCGAGAGGGGAAGTCAAAAAGGAAAAGTGCCACTAACATATCTAGAACTGCTTAGCTAAGTGTAATTAGTAGGAATGGTAGAAAGTGCGGTAGCTTTACAAACACGGAATGAACATGATACTGGTCACCAATAAAATTCTTTCAGACAGGTTAGACTAGATTTTGTATGTTGAGTAGGGGTTAGGTTGGTTGAGTGAATTTGAGGTGATCAAAGAAATCGATATTTTTTAAAAAAGAAATTGTCAGTCAATTGCCTGCTACTGCACAGCGTCCAGATGGTGGTATTATTTGCTATGTTGATCAAGAGGCATGGACAGATACTAGCACTTAAGTAGGACGATATTTAACTTTCCAGAAATCCTCAGAAGAATTTGTTTGATTGTTGCATGACAGTTCTTTGAGGACGAGGAAGAGAAATTGTTGGCAAACTTCGTCTGAAAAAAGCGACGAAGTAGAAACGCCTTTGAATCGAAGAATAAATAAAAAATTTAAATTAATTCTCATTTACATAAGTCAGTAGAAAATATGATTAAGCACTTTGGCTACGACCAAGTTGCCCTCAGGGTCAGGAAGCAGAAATTATCTCGAGTCGGTTATGGAGACAACGTCAAGTGTTCTGAAAGGGGCTGTTAAGGTGGATTGTTAACATTCAAGTGGTTCCCGAAATGTCCAGGCATTTATAGTACCCCACTTCAGATTTCATAAGTTCATCAGTGAAGTCTTAAAGCGGTGTAGGTTGCTCGTCCATTTACAATTGTTGTATGTTGTGTTTTTGCATTTGAAGCGTTTTCAATTGATTTTCTAGTGCATTTGTCTCAAAAAAAGTACATTATTTGGAATTAGTCTCCTTGTATTGAAATTGTATGCTTTTGTACTCTACTCAGGTAGCTCAACATCAACATTTTAAACTTCGTTTAAAAGGAATTAAGGAACTCTAAGGCTCAAAACAATAAACCAAACAATTTATTTAATAATGTATTCCTAAGAATTTAGCACTGAGGTGTTTTGTTCAACGCCTGAATATTAAATATCGTAGGTGGGATATTATTTCGTTTAGGAAGGGACTTGTTACTTTTAATAACACGGTAGCTTTTTTTTGTACGTAGCTTAATTTATGCTAACTGTTTTTCCCGTAGAAAAAAGCGAAACGTTGGTGGTAATTACGGTAACGTTGAGCTCGAGAGGATATTATCAACAGTTATCCGGGATTTATTTGGTTCTTCTTCACTTTGCTTTGTGATTGGTTCAGAAAACTCGCACCAACCTGTCAATAAGTCAGATGCAAACTAAAACCAATCACGGCTCATTCAGCCGCGTTTACCACGCTCGTCAAGCAGTTTGCTGGTTTTTATCTTGAGTGCATATTGGCTTTTGAGATATTTTCCTTTCTCCTGATTGGGCTTAGTGATTAATTTGGTTTTGGTTTTTGCTACACTTAATTGAAAACCGCTGTTACTTATAGAGCTGTAGTTGAGTTGATGTACTTTTGTCTGGGCACTTAAAACATAGACGGGTGTCTAGTCCATCACTGGAAACACTTCGCACGCATTTTGGGACAGAACGTGTCTCAAGAAAGGTTAAAGCGTTATAAGGGCGTATTCAGCCTGCAGTTATGGAATTTCCCTATATGATGTTATTAGCTGAAGGGAGAGAAACTAACTAACGGAATAATCGAATTTAAGTCTGAAATTGACTCCTTTGTTTTCGGAGAAATAAAAGGATTTTTACGGAGTTAGCGTTCAGTCTTAAGATAAGGAAGTTAGTAGCTTCTACTGTCCAGGGCTACGAAAGGTTCTTTGAAAGACTTCCGTACTCTTATTGAACCTACATCTCCTGTGCGATGTGTGAAAAAGTCGCCACAGTCATGTTCTTGAGTTGTGATTCAGCGATTTTGATCCATTTTGATTGCATTTCCTTTAGATGTCAGTCACAAGAAACACCGACTGCAGCATGAAACGAAATAGCGAGTTGTGCCCTTGAGTTCGCATGTTATTGAAAGTGGCAGTAACCGCTAAGTGGTACCAAGCTAGCCGTGGATTACCATCTTTTTCACCTCTTAAGATACGCCTATTTTAAGCACCGAACAAAGAAGGTCCTCGTCATTGTATTACAGACGTCACTATATCCTTCCTTTATACTCCATGAAAGCACTTTTTTACTGTTCCATCGCTTATAAACCTGATATATACCTTGACAGCCGAAAATATGGGAGTGTCGCCCCTTGAATCCAAGAAGAGTCTGTCTCACTCATCCCCAGTCAGTCTTTCAACCTTTATGCGAGAGGTGCGCGTGGGGAGGGTGGGAAAGAAAAAAAAGAAGAGAACATCATCCCCTATCGTCCCCTTTGTTGTGCTAGTGCTAAAGACGACTGTGAACGGGTTAGGAAATCTGGGAACGGGTTAGGAAATCTGGGATCAGCACCCTTGATTGTGTGAAAGTCTCCCTTCCCCGGACGGGAGGCTGGTTTTGTATATACTATGGAGCCGAACACAGAATGTTGTAACCCTATTAAGACACAAAATAATTTATTGAGCATTAAATAACAAGCCTTTATATTTCCGGTTACGAAGTTCAACTTCTCGGCGAAGAGTCATCTTGACATGTTTCTACATGTTAAATCCGACTTTACATTTTAAACACTTGTCAACATTTCATTCAATTGTTGTCCTCTTCCTGCTGTTAACATTGAGAGGTTCCCTCTCTGATGGGTCAGAATTTCCCCTAAATTTAAAAAATAAATAAATAAATAAATAAATAAATAATAGTACAGTCGTGCAGTTAACTAGTTCAAGTAAAGGTACTCCATTTTGACAACACAAACAAAAGTCATCAGTCAACCAAACAGTTATTTTCAGTCGAATGATTTACGACAGTTTCTGAAAACCGATTGGTTTATTACTTTAATGAGATGCTATGGCTGGAAGACTCAATAGCTTAAGGTGATTCCCTGGTTTTGCATTGCGCACCTCTACTGCGCAAAACATTGAGACATCCAAGATAGCGGCCGCTTTTAAAGCCGCTATCATAAAAAAAGACAACACAGGCCGGTTTTGCAACAATAAAACGCTAAAGCGTAGAAAAATGTGTATCAGATATCATGAAAAATAGGCGTCTAGCTTATAAAAGTCAAAATTTCGAAACTTCAGTAAGCGAGACTGGAGTATGGGAAGAAACTCGTTCCAGTGCCCTCTCGGAAAAATGCACAGCAGAAGTCAATTTGTCACCTTCACCGAACAATTGCGGAAAAACGGGCATGGTGACTCCCAGTTTTATTCTACGCATCGAGAGAAAATGCCATCCTCCATGATATATCCAACTTTGAAGATTTTTTCATTCGTTGATGTTCAAATATTCTTTTCGAATAATTGTTGCGATGTGATGTTCGGTGTTTTGTCCCAGAGAGGGAGTACTGATCTGCGGGCCTATTATTCACCACTTTGATGTTTTTGAAAACGTTTAAATGGTTTACCACAACATTGTTGTGGGATCATAAGAGCAAAACATTCTTTTCGTATTCATTGACTACTTTCTGGAAATAGCGGGTACTTTACACTCTAGGATAGGATTTTCAATTCTGGTATCACAAGCTAACAGAGTAGTTTTTTGAATGAAAGTGATCCTCGCGGTAATGTGCCCTACTTAGGCAGTAGTGGAAATAAGGCCTGAAAAAAGTTCAGGCCTGTACGGGATTTGAACCCATGACCTCTGCGATACCGGTGCAGAACCGGTGTGTCATGTCTTTATCCGCAGTTCAAATATATGACTTTCATATATTCTTAACCAGGGTAGTTTTTATAACAGCCCTAAAACTCGAAAATGAGGAAGGTAACCCCAAATTTTTGTTTTATGTTTTGGATTAGCTTAGAGTAGTTAACAACTGTGCAAAGTAAAAAAGAAATGCCATTACACCTTCTTTTTCGATGGAATCACCTTAATTGTGATTGGTCAGTCCTGATGCGTCAGTAAAGTTGGGTCGTTGTGTTCAATTCGTTGGTTTGCACAAAAACATTTTTAATTACCTTGGCAACATATGGTTGTTTTTCAAGAAGTTGACTATGATTAATACCCAAAGGGTTTTGCAAAGCTTGGCCTGAGAAATTGTAAATCAACGTTCCGTTCATAAGAGCACTAGTAGTCGTGCAACGTGTTAATTCAGTATCACTTTAAGACCGTAAGAAGGCTTATCTGAAGTTATTTTTTTATTTCTTCATGCGCGCAATTCCTTCCAAAAGGGTCAATGTAACAAAAAAATTTACAAATTATTTTAAATCAGGACTGGTCGAATTTAGTTACGTTCCTTCCTGATTACTCCAAAAAGGGGTTCTAGCTACTAGTAAAGTACTTTTAGCAAAAAAAAGAACAACTGTTACTAACGTCATTGAACTATCTACCAACCTTAAAGAGATCTTTTCACTCATCGTGAATAAACAAATCACCAGGGTCTGAAAAAACAAAGAAACTCGAAGATAGTGACAGAAGATATTCATAAAACTTAAACTACAAAACCTTTACGTAAAAAGAACAACAATAGCAAAAATAATAACAAGATTTCTTTTCGAGAAAAATCTTCCTCTTTAAAATGAAATATGAAAGAACGAAACACCAAAAATAAAGTAAAATAATCATGCGGAAGCGAAATTATCAGTGTACCCACATGGAAAAGGCAGATGAAAGCTGCTGCCTGCAAAAGTAGGAAACCGAGAATAAATACTTGTTACAAGTACATCGTTATTTCTGTTAAGGACACTCGGGTCATTATTTAGCAATCAGGAAGGAGGGGGGGGGGTGGGGTGGGGAGTTTGTTGGAACTAAATTCTATCTTGACATAACCAAAATCCGCCTCATCATCTCTTGTCCCCTCTAACTGACAGGTAATTAACAGTTAACTTTCTATAGTTTCCCCTTATACTCTGTTGCGACGGCTGAACGGAGTGATCCCCCATCTGTTTCCCTTGAAAACCATGTGATCCTTACCAAAATCCTTCACTCCCCCACCCCCCCACTGCCGTTCGATAAATACTGACTTATCCCCAAACTCTTCATAATATTAAGTTTCGTAGCGTAGATCAAATGCCTCGAATGATGAAAACAGCACTTACACTCATGGCCCACTCAAATCCAAAATGATCATCTAATACTCCAGCCAGACTGGGTCCAATTGTTGCTCTGTAAAGAAGGAATTGAAAAAATGTACATGATCCATTTTAAGAGTGGATGTTAGCGTCTGCCCTCCCTCATATCGTTGCCGCTTCAGCAACTAACACAAAAAAGATAAAGAATCAGTGAAAAAAGAGCACATACCCTAAATAATACATAGAACCGTAAATACTCGACACAAGCGCGTTTGTGGAGGAATTATCGGGCATTCCATTTGCCCTGCAAGAGGAAAAGAGGTAACAAAAGCAAGCCCAAAATCATTGACACAAAAACATATCTATAAATAAATCAATTAGGTTGTCTTCTAGTAACTTAAACTCTTCCCAACTGGATTTCCTAGACTCTGCCATTCACTGACTGAAACTTTATCCTTGGTAAAGAAAAGAAACGAGCCTTACGAAAATATTGCTACTTACCTTAAACTTTTAATAAGGTCAGGCATGATGGGTACAAAAGCAAAACCACCAGCAATTCCTTGGATGGTTATTGCAAAAATAACCAGCCAAATCGTCCTGCAAGAATAGCGGGATCCAATGAGCAGTTTACCATCAAGATAAGGTTTTTTTCAGGTGACTGAACTTCAGTTTTCGATTGATTTAGAAATAGGCTTGAAAGTTGATAATTGCAGCTACAAATCTGCGTGGGATCGCACGCTGGTGACCTCTGACTTGTTTGAACATGTACCAATCGCTCAAAACACAGATTAATTTTGAAAAGTTTCGATCATTCACCAAAATGTTCCCAGTATATTTGTTGGCACATTTCCAATACGTTTAAGGTTAGTGTGGAGGAATGTAAGGATTGTACACTCTCCTCTGACCAGCCAATATATCATTTACTTCATTTCATTTTTAATTATTTTAAGGCAAACAAAGGCCCCACTTAAATTTGCCTTGCTCACTAAATGTGGCTCTGCGGCTCAGTGGTTAGAAGCGCTCGTTCGAATCCTATTGAAAGCTGAACTTTTACAGGCTTTTTTCTGCAATTGCTTAAATTGCAGCTTATCTGTGAGTATTATTTGTTAACGTGTACTTTTTCTTCACCTTATGACTCCCAGAAGTTATAAACCTGTAACCTATCACTATAATTTCCATACATTGTCCAGCAAACAGGTAAGGAGAATAATCGATCTTATCAAGTAGAAGTCTTTTCGTGATCTAGCACCAAATTCTTGTTACCAATTTTCAAGGAAATTTGTAGCAGCCAAAATAGAAAATAACAATTAGATCCCGTGGGAGTTAAAGCGTTAACATTTCAAGAGTATGCAAAATGATTAGTACACATACTTAGGTGGTAAGAACGTGAGAAATGAAGCAGGTCCCATCAACAGATATCCAATGAAAAATCCAATAAAACCTACTATAATCATCGATCGATAACAGTTCTGAGAAGAAATTAATAGAGAAGAATGGAATTGTATAAAAATCATGCATTTATTTTTAAGTCACACTAAATCACACACGAGGAAGAGGCGTCAGCATGAGTTTTTAACAAGCGAACCCAGATTGTGGGTATATGAGTTTTTCTCTGAAGTGACGCCTCGAGTTGACAACTGAATCAACAGTAAATCGGAGGTAACGGTAACTGTTCTCCCTAGAGAACCTACAGAAATCCAAGTAGACAATATTTGGGAAAACTCTCTACAGCAAGACGTCGCCAAAACTCGCCATTTTTCCACAGCACTTTTTGCTTTTTATAATCCATTTTATTTCAACGCAACCCAATCCCCGGCCTCTGAGAAAGACACTCTTGATTGGGAAGGAATGGACCTTGTTGGTCATCGTGAAATTCAGTTTGAACATGCCATTACGGATTCCATAATGCACTGGGAACCCCGCCCCTTCCCTTACAATTCCACATAAAAGAAAAAAAAAAACTCACATGAAGAAGTCTTAGTATCCTTTGATGGTAATCGCTTGTCTTTTTGATGAAATTTCTTGGACCGTAGATTTGGAAATTGTGATAATGTCAGATCCTGATGCAAAGTTAATTGTTGCTATGCTAAAGCGAAAACTTACCGTTTTATCTCCTATGTAGCCCACTATTGGCGCTAACAGAGTGTACGTGCCAGCCCAATAAAGAAAAACGAGATAAATCTGTGTTGTATTTTGACCCATCTGTGAAGTGAATAGATACCATCGTTTGAGAACCTTAAAAAATTGGACAACTGAGCTCAGCTTGGAAGACAGACGGCTCTAAAATTTTGGCGAACTGAATTTTAGGTGAAGCATCTTAGTAACTAGAAACAGGCATTTCTATTAAGCCTTCAAGCAGACACTCATCATGAGCGCTGCAACACGAGCGTTTCTTTGCCTGCGAGGAAGCCTGAGTTCTTCAGAAAAGCAAGCCGGCCAGCGGTCTGTTTGGGCTCTGCCAGTTTCCAGCAAACCTCTTCCCGACTCGTCTCGAACCTTCCAACGTGCGGAGAAAAGCGCGTCCTGCAGCGTTAATAATAATGAGAGCCTGTCGACTTAGTGTCTAACACAGGAAACCGAAGTAGTGACAATGTCTACTCAGAAAATAGAAAAACATCCCACAGAGCTTATAAGGAACTCAAATTAAGTACAAAGAAGGAATCTACGTGATGCACAATAAAATGCAAGTGACCCATTCGTGATCACTTTTATTTTTGGCGCGAGTTTAGTGAATCACAAAAGGGAAGTTAAACAAAACTAACGAAATCCTGGAGTATTTTCGAATGTTCGCGTTAAAAGATCTTGGTGCCCGGGTTTTCCTCTCGAAGACAGGTCAAATTTGATAAAACCATACAGTTGACGTAGCATGCTCTGTGACAGTCTAAAGCATTATATGTTAAGTCAAAAACACCTGTCATAATATTAAAGTAAAAGTCGTGGTGTACCTGCTCTAAATGCGGCCCTAAGACAGGTTCAAAGTAAGGAAATGAAAAACCACTGACGACAAAGCAGAGAGCTGGAATAAAATGGCAGAAAAATTTATCAGAGACCAATCTCATTTCTCTTTACAATTGTAACAGCTAGCTAAATTGTAGCTAAAATAAAAGGCCTCTGCTCCAATCGCTGATCCTGACTTATTTTCAGAGGTACTTGTTTTGAGATAGGCGTGGTATCCACATAAATGTTCTGTCAAAAGAAGTATTCTGGCTACCCTCAACCCAGGGTGCATCAGCAATCACATTATCCAGTAATATTAACTCTCCATCATCCATTGTCAGAAATAATAGGTTAAATGTTAAGAGTACTCATGTACTTACATAACATGAGTGCAGATGGAATTTTAAGCACTTTTAACCTGGATATTGATTCCTTGTCCTCGTCTTTCTTCTCTTCTTCTCCTGCTTTGTAGTTTTTAAATTAAAACATTGTAATATTAGATAGAAACTTCTCAGGGACGGGCTAATATGGCTAGAAACTACACTAAATGCAGTGGAGGAACTCCTGTTTCTCGTTTTATTCCCATAGCCTGAGTTAGAGGTGATCAGCAAAAAAAATATGCGGCCCTAGGGCTGAATTTCCTTTCAGTTAAATGCTTTTTACCCACACGATCCTAAAGGATGGGCTTGATATACTGTTTTTACTCATAGATTAGCCACAGCCAAAGAATGGAACTTATGTTAGGGGTGCGTCTTATACGCAGGTACAAGCGTTTCGACACTTTCCAAAAACTAATGAAAAACCTGGGGTGCAGCCAATCCGCGAACAAATGCATCGGTATACTGACACAATCACCAATCTACCCTGCATTTTCATGTTGGTGGCTAACATGATATTTGGTTACCAAAGTGTTTGTTAAAGAGTAATGGTACATATTACCTTGAAACGATTTCAAAGCTAGTTTATGTCTATGTAGCGTACATCATAAAAAAGGAGACGTACATAACAACAACGACTCAAGAGTGAACTGAAAGATTGTTTATAGACTGACGTTTTTGCTTACTCATTCCCTAATCATATTGACGGATCTTTGAGTCTCAGCGCCTTTTTAACATGTATTTAAGCAATAAACCCCTTTTTCTATCGGTTTACAGCGTAATATTGGGAGAACACGTGAAAAGTTTACAAACCACGAGGTGCAGCCGAGAAGCTTACAAGATAGAATGATAAATTTATTTCTATTTTTGATCAAGTCGTGATTCTCATGAAAACCTTCAAAAAGTGATTAAACCAGTCAGAGAGCCTGAAACTGAAAACCTGGCGGTCAAAAGTGTAAAACTAATTTCTCAATGAATGAACACAATGGATTAAACCAGATTAAAAAGAAAACTGAAGAGAAAGGCTGAAACAAGATGAATGCACAAACCTGCCGGTCAAGAATGGCTAAAAGAGTAAAACCTCTAATTTCTCAATGAATGAACAGAAGTTTTAATATTTTCTGGATAATTTTGGCGAAATAAAATTGGAATTTTTACTGGTGAAATTTATTTCCATTATGATGACTTAACTTTCAATTTCCTTACATTATTGGAGCAAAATCGAAAGACAACAACATCGAGCCGTGCATATGCACTGATTCAAACGCCGTTCCGCTATTTTGTTTACTCGCGGCAAACTATTTTTCTTGAACCTGTTTGTAATTTATATTTATTACTTCAGCTTAAAACAAAGCTTTCGTGGAATCCTTGTTGATATTTAACCAGTAAGATAAACTAGATGGTCAGATGTCTCAAAATCAAACCTTTGCCAAGTGCCAATGCTATAATTGGAATTACACCAATCAAAGTGCCACCCGTGACAAAAAATGGAAGTTTAAAACCACCAACCTAGAAATGAGATCATTTAAGATGAATGAACATTGATGACAGCATTTCACTGCAGCTTTAATTACCCAGTTACTAATATCTTTGTTTATTTCCTCGATATGCTCTGTGGACGAAAAAGCTGGGATAACTAAGTGTTCAACCTCACTGTGATGTAGGGGAGGGGTGGGGGTGAGGTAGCGTCTCTTAGACAACACGAGTACTGAAACCTGGCTGAAAGGAGCATAGGTATTCAAAGAAAAAAAGAAAACCAGTAACGTTTTTGAATGTAACGTTGATTGACATGACTTCCTTGTTCAATTTCATCAATTTAAGGATGCTTACCAGATCATATTTCCCTGATATATTACCTACAAATTTAAACCAGAAAATGTATCAGATAAAGATCATGCCTTGTACATACTGTGTAAAGAAATCCTCCAATAACTGGACCAAAGGCATTTCCGGCTCCAGCAGCTGTCTCCACCACGCCCTAGAAAATGACGTTTAAAGAAAAAGAGAATTATTCAGGAAATTTCATGACAAGCTTTATACAGTGGTTACTGAGTGATGCCTTTTCTCAGCGAGTTTGATAGAGCCACCTTAATCATTATAACTAAAAATAAGCATTCATTCATCAGTCACTATGCTACGTCATATGATAACTGCGCATTTCTTTCATATCATTTTAAACCGACTAGAACCTCTAATTCATCGTGCATATCAAAGTACATCATTACTGTAATCTTCACATTTTAAGACCAACAATACATTTATTACAAAATTGATTTAGTTTGAATTCAAGAAAAAAAATCCCACATACTGAAACCATTCCAACATTATCAGGAAATTTTGTCAGTAAAATGGACACTGTTGAGGTTTCAGTTGCAGCCCCTCCAATGGCACATGTTGCTCTTAAGACAAAGCAAACAGCTATGAACACATCGCGATCTACAATCATGTCACAAAATCTGAAAGATACAAAAGCCATACATAGTGTATCTTTGTTTAAAGCAGTAAAAGGGCAAGTTAGATCTTTTTAACCTCTTAGTTTTTCCTTTTTGCTTTTCACACTTTTTTCACACTTTTCTAAGACCGTTTAAACTTTATAACAGTGATTTTTTTTTTAACAGTGCTCAGCATATTTACATTTGTTCAAGTCTTTCCCAGCTGATCAAGCCATTGAAAAATGCTGCATTTGAGAGCTAGCCTTTTTTCGATTCCAAGATTGACCTGAGAGAAATTTCTCTTTATAATATCCATATAATTTTAGGCAGAAGAGTGATGAGGAGAAGAAAAGATGGCAACCAAGGGATTCTTTGTTTGATTAAATACAGAAATCATAATACAGAAATCATTTAATTCAATATTTTAGCTCACCCAAATAAAACCAATGATCCCCCACAAAGAACAAGCCCTGAGTAGAGAACAAACCTAGGGCCATATTTTGGTATCTGAAAGTGATACAAATTACTCCGCAGTAAATGATTATGAAAAAGCTTGGAATTCAATTGTTGATCCAAGCAGAAAACTACATACAACTGAGTTGTGGCCAAGTGGTTCTCATAAATCATCATATTATCTCTTTACGCCCAAATGTCAGTATCTAAATTCTCTATACTCATTTTCTGTACATTTCTTTGGTACAGACAAGGAGAATTCACTTATCTATCACAGCTTCTCAGGATGGAGATAATTTCCTGTTATTCTCATAATCTTAATGAATGACTCATCAGTATTATTTTAAGGAGGAATAAGATGCTTGTCACTATTAGAATTTAAAGGGTTGAGGATGCCAAATATAGATTTGTCATAATGCACTATTTTTATAAACTGTTTCAGTTTCTGCCTCGTTAAGCCCACTTTGATCTGAAGGGGATGAAGTTTGTTATCTTAAGAAGTAACTCTAAAATACCGTATTTCCTCGAATAAGCGTCCAAGCTCAAATACCGGTAAGCGTCCTCTCCCGAATATGCGCCCATCCCCATAATCTCAAACAAGCACCCCACTTCCTCCCTTACTTTCTTAAGAGGTAGGCGTAAAAGAAAAAACTGTTCCTATTGCCACTTTATTTATAACTTTTACAAGCTTCAACTACCACAAAATCAGTTCAGGAGAATAGTTTCTTTTCTGTTTCAGTTATTTTTATCTCCATGTGGTACTGAGATCACTTATGTGTGTTATCTGTTCTTTGGTTTTCATCCTATTGCTGTGCTAACTTGATAAGCACGCCCCTTCCCCTCTCCCCTTGCCCTTGATTAAACGCCCTCTTTCCAATAAGCGCCTCTCCTTTCAGCCGAAATTTTAAAAAATCGCTCGGGCGCTAATATTCAAGAAAATATGGAAACAAAAACTGTTGTTGAGTCTACTCTGATGTGAATGTGATTAAGTTATTTATCGCAAAAAATGAATACTTAAATAAGTATGGTAGAGTATTTAATCGGCTGAAAAAGGGAATAATGATAAATATGCAAACAAATGGTTCAAATATTTCAACTATTATGAATATTCTTCAGAGTCAAATACTTACAAGAACTCCACAAAATGGCGAAAAGATGAAAATCACAAACGAATAAGTTCCAAAGATCAAACCCACTATAGTTCCAGACACGCCTTTATCCCTTGCCTTTAAGTCAACAAAAAAGGAGAAGAAAAATTAAATGATAAATCGCAAAACTTATAAAAGAAACCATAAAAGAGGCATTATTGATTGGAAACTATGCACAACAACCATCCCTAGACCCTTATTAAGCTCCTACTTCTGCCAGTTTAACCCTTTGCCCCACCCCTCTCCCCTCAAACCTTCTACCTCTGTACTTTTCAAGGTAATTGTGATGAGCCTTTTGCCATGAGTGTACAGGGTATTTTTTTTTTTAATTTTCAGTCATGGCAATGTTGAAGCTTGTGAAAGATTCTTTTTTACCATCCTCCCCTTTACGCCAACACTTCCTTATCCAGGAGACGAATTAAAATCCTAGGAAGCTAGGGATCTTTTCAAGTCAGAAAATTCCATGACTGCATTACTTGAAACATTATAAGTAATGTCTACATTTTTCAAAAGGAAAGAAGAGTATTAACGCGGAAAAGAACAAAAATGTCGCATTAACTCACACACAGGTATTTTGTGGTAAATTGTGTGTGTTGTGCGAATAACTGTAACCAAAAATAAACTATATTGGTGCCACGGATACCTGTTGGTACAAAATGCACACTGCAGACTGCAGACCGGATGCAAAATGTAGACTAGGTATAAAATGTAGACTGCAGACTGCAGACTGGGTACAAAATGCATACTAAGAATCTAAAGAGTTTTTTCGTCTGGCGTGTGATAACATGTCATCTTACAACTTACCGAGCGTCACGCAATCGCTTTTCCGCGATCAGCTTTCACGATTATTTGCATTATTGTGGAATATTCCTGGCCATTTCTTGATCAAAATCGATCTTAATATAATTTCAAGCCTTCATATAGTCTTCTTACTTTGCGCGCGAGTTGGTTGGTGTGATGTCTGTACAGATTTTACCAATGTAATAAAAGTAGATGTAGATGTAGATGTTAATGAGATGTCACTACTGAATATTTAACACGCGCAACATTCGAGAAACAATTGACAGCTTTACACGTGGTTCATATTATCATCTTTTTAAACGGTGTGTTAATTCTGTTGACAAAATTCTGCGGACCGAGACCAAAACGAGGGGGGCATTGAGATTTTCGGTTTTACGGTTTCAGCTATTTTTTAGATCGGTTTTTTGGTTTTCGGTTTTGGTGTTCATTGTGGTTTGCGGATATACCTATTTTCAGCATCTGGTTTTCGGTTTTCGCGAAAAATACCAGCGGGTTTTCGGATTTGATATCCGATGCGGTTTTCGGATTTGATATCCGATGCAGTTTTCGGATTTGATATCCGATGCGGTTTTCGATTTTTCCTATTTGACCTATTTGGGTTCCAGTTTCTCTTCGATCTGAGCGGCAATTACGCGCCTCCACTGATCTCGAATAGCCGCTAAACGCAAAAGTTATCGAGAGAAATGCGTGACAAACCAATTGAAATATCGCAGAGATTCCTAGCTACCCTCACTGGGAAAGAATAGTGAATTTACAGAACGTGCCTAAAAAAACCACAAAGTAGACAATACTGATGGGGATAATAATAACTATGCTTCGAAGAGTCCAAAGTCAACTAACTCAAGAGAAATCTGAGCTCGAGTAATGCATTCTCCTGTTGGATTGAAGGCAATCGTTTAACGAGCCCTTCCTTTAATTAGAGAATCAAATCTGATTTTGACCACAGACATTTTCCATTAGAATTGGTAGCAGTAAAAAATGTCACCATCGTTTTACAACTCATCTGAAAGCCAGATTGAAAACTTTTTAGAGAATGTTGACATTGATCTAAGAGGAAAAGATGAAGGTAAGGTTTAAAGTTTTTCCGTTAGATCTGGGAAAAAAAAACAGTAAAAAAATCCACTAGGTTATAATGACATCTCCTCGCCTTCTATCAATTATAATCCTTTCAGAAATTTGTTTTGTTTTGTATTGCTAAAAATAAATGATGATGACGATAATTCCACGATCATAATATGAGATTATAGCATTATGATATAAATCAGGTTTTTTATAAGTTTAATGTACGTTAAAAGCTATTAACTTGATGCTTTCAGGGTGCAGACATAACATGAAGAGATTTACTTCTAAGGAAGAGATTAAAATTTTCTAAAAAGTTCTTTATTGTAATGGAATATGTATTTGGTTATTTCTGTCATATTGTCTGTAACCTCCGCATAAAATGGGCAGTTTTTCCTAGAAGAAGAAATGTTTCCTTAAGGATCATACAAATGGTGTAAATCATCATTCACAAAAAAAATATATAAAAAAGAAGAAGAAGAAAAGGCTTTATTATACATGCTTTTAAGAATATCAATAGCTACAATCAGGAGATTAAAATTCAAATTGAAGTCAGAGTCAAAATACCCTGGTTACGAAACTATCAATGAAAAATATTACCACATCCTCTTTTATACTGCACACTTTTACACACTTCTGATAAATTATGGGTACATGATTCAATATTCTAAAAAGGAGCATCCGTAACCCTCTTTGTTGATTTAGAGTTTGAAATCATTATATGAGGACAATTAGTCACTTATTATACTAGGAATTACATTTATTTTCCAATGTAGGCTTCATTTGTTGTGATATATCATTAATCAATAAATATAAGTGCTAACCTCTTGAGGAAAGAATGGTGAAAACAAAGAGTATGTTACAAACGCCATAAAGCCGCAAACACTGTTGCTGGCGCAGAGAGCTATGTAGTGAAGAAGCGTAGGTGAATCATCTCCAGAGGAACACTTTTCCTCTTTCTCGCTGAGTTGAAGGCTGTCAATTATCAGGCTTTCCCTATCATCATCGGATCGAATTTCTGAACTACAGATAATAGTCATTTTCAGTTTGGATGGATAGTACTTTGACTAAAATGTCGAAAACTTATTGTAACTCTCAACAACAGCTTTCTTTTCAAAGCATGTTATAAAAATTCATTAAAAAAAAGAGGAAAGAGGGTTGGACCGCGTTAGAACTGGGTTTGACTTTCTGCACCATCGAGCCTGACACATTGACGCAGAGGTTGCAAATAGCACGACAATTTCCGTTCCGATATTTGATGTCCATGGATTTTCAATGACTTAAAGGACTTTAGAGTTGAAAAAGGGAGGTCAAATTCATGTTTTTTTTTTCTCAGCTCAGCTGTGGGGTACCTCTTCTCTTTAACTGACAGTTAATCTATTAGAGTTGCCTCCGCAAAAGATATGACATCAAAACATGACTCAAGGCCGAAGAGTTTTAGTGCTTTAGCGGCACAATAAACGATAGATTTTCGGGCAATCAGAGAGAAATTTATGTTAGAGTTATGTAGGATTTCGAATTTTTGTTTCATAAGTCGGAGTGCGTTCAATGAGATATGCAGCACGTGGAAAGTTTGGGGATCGCATAAGATGCGTAGGAGATGCTTGATGCGCAGCCGAGAGCAACACTAGCTTCTTAAGCGCTCTTTAAACTTTCTAAGTGATTCATATCTTGAGAAATGCACAGCTGACAAAATGAAATGCACATCGAGAAACTGAAGCACTTGGATAGTTTCAAGAGGCTAGAGTTGCTCTTGGCTGCGCCTTGAGCAACTCCTACGCTACTTTCGTGCTCATCAAACAATATCCCCTGCAGCCTGTTACAGTGATATGAAATTCCAATATTCCATCAAAATTCAAATTATGAAAGACCACACATTGTCTCCTCTGTTTCAAACAAGCTGAACATGCGTTACGAGAGGCGATTTTATTTCATTCGGTCCCGGGGTTTTTCTCATTTTTCAAAATATCTCTTCTAGTTTATGTTGGAGACATAAATAAATTATTTTGTGAAATAAACATCCTTTTAACAGCATTTCATCAGACAAGTGGTCAGTCGTAGGTTTCTCAACAAGCTCAAAGGAGGCGAGAGTGTACTAAAAATTTTCGACTGCATCATAGCCTTATGTTTAAATTGCTCGAACATGATAAAATTGCTTTAGTGCGTTTGCTAGATATTTCAGACTTCAAACCCAGGCAAAATCTGAAAACTTCAAAAGCGAAGCGTTTCGCTTCTTTATCGGCTTTCACTTGTCCATATACTGTTTTTGAGTCCTTGTCTGGCACAAACATTTTAAAGCCAATTTTTAGCTTTTACAAAGCATTAAAAGTGATTTGTATCATTTGGAACCTGAAAATTGCCCGAAATTCAAACAAATTCGCAAAATCTAAAAAGAATTGCGCAACCAAGAGGATTTGCTGGTCCACTAAATACATTATTTTTTGCGTGAGCACGACATATTTTCAGGAAATAGAATTTTTAAACAGAAAAGATCAAGAATAAAGGGCGTACCCAAGTTACCGCCTATTTTCATAGATTTACGAACTACGTGCTTTTCGAGGAAATTTCCTGGTTGTACAATCAGTGCAGAGATGAAAAGTAGAAATTGTTTATTCCTACAACCTTAAAAGAGAGGAAATTAGTTGCGCCCAAACAAAACATAAGGGAGTTCAAGAAATGATAGATATTGTGAGAAGGTTAATCTCCAGGACGTTCCTGTGCAGAGATCAATTTTAACAAAAGCCATTATATTGTTTTCTTAAGAGTTCAATTGGAGCATTACTTACGGAAAGAGCCAGTTACCACGGAATTTGTAATCTCGAAGAACTACTTTCTCGTAGCAGTTTGATCTTTATACAATCTTTTACCTTAAAAGCGTCGGGTTAACTTGTGATGAAAATGCCGGTATGTCTCCCTTAAATTCCCAACCCCTAAATAAGCTAGAATGATATATTTGGAATATTATTTTTTTTTTAAACTGTCTTTTAACACCGAACTGGCCGGTGATTCAGTTCTTATTTAGATCAGATGCGCATACAGAAGCTTGTGGAACGCGTCAATATTATCCTGGTCATTTCATTTGAGACAGTAATAGCGTCCATAATCGCGTTAGAGCTCAAGTCGAAGTCTTCCTCAACAAATGTCTGAAATTTATTTTGATGCCGATATACTACGTGCATAAATTTTCTAAATCTTTATCTGTTTTCCTTATAGTTGGGTCAAAATCTTACACCGACTGGTCGTGTGTTCTTCATATTTGCCGGTATTAACGCCCCATATAGCAGTATATGTGGAGGGTATATAAATCGCTTACCATTTTATAGCAGATAAAACAGTAAATGATACTTAGATTTTTGCAGGTGTAGTAATCACCGAACACTTCTCCTGTATCCAAGCAAAGGTTATCTATTTCTTATCTTGCACTTATCTCAAAGCTAGACATTGGTGAAACAGGAAGATAATTTGGCGACTGATTCCGAGAACACTTTCGTGACGTAGTAAGGATTCAGACACATTCAAATCAGTCGCTAGACACTTTATCTCCCAAATCATTCTAAGCACGATATGGCAGTCTGTGGCCTTTCGCTACATCTGGACAGCTCAGAAAGCCGCAAAACTCTAGAACAACAACAAAAAAAAAAACGTTCAAATGGACATCCCTAATCCCACAGTATTAACGAATACTTTCGATTCAACTAACTCATTCTTTTTTCTTCGCGTTACCATGTTCCTACCAACAGCGTAGCTCCGTGCTTATGTAAATAAACCAAACACTACCTAAAAATCCTCTGACGAAGGGCTAACCGGCTTGAAACATTAACTTTAGAAACTCATGACGTCTCTAACTTCTTCATATCGGTATTCCATCTTTGGATAAGAGCGTAAAAAGCTCTTTGCTTTTCCCTATTGCCTTCAGAAGAAATATCGCACAATCTTTTTTATCAGTCTGCCCTTGGTAGCTAATTGCTGTCGTCAGTAGAGACATAGTTTGGCCAAAATTATCACGAAAGGAAGTTTTGCTAAACAGATATCTAGACAGAAGGGTGAGAAAGCCCTCCGACTTCGTCTTAACATGCCTGTAACAATTTCGTAAGTTATATGCAAGCTGTTGCAAAATAATTTTTCCCAAAAATATCAGCCGAAACATGGAGACTGAGACTCGCCCTATAAACCCTGCCGCTCGCACGCGTGATGATCCCACGTACTACTTGCAAGTAAGTCAGCGTTCATAGCATATCGGTGCATATTGGCAGAGATTTCACCATGAAGAGTAGCAGCTCCAAGACTCTCCCAACTGATAGCTCCGCTGAAACCCCCCCGGAGACAAACAAAGAAACCTGGACTTCGCGTAACATAGTCCTTCTTTTTTCGATGTGCCTGGTTTATTTCGTCCTATACGCAGCATATTCAGTTTACGCGCCATTCTTACCAATTGAGGTAAGTACAATAATGTTGTAGAAAAGGTTGTGGTTATTCATCGTAGTAAATAACAATAAAAGCTAAGTTTTCCGTTTGTCTCACGATGTAGTCACGTGTGATGTGGATCGCAACGTTTCGACTGCATACTGCTAGTCTTCTTCAGGCGATGAGGTCGACTGGTCATGCGTGATCTTATAAAGCATGATGCTCTGCTGTGATGAGTTGTTATTCAACAGCTCTGATTGGTGCATTTCGATCCTTGCTGTTCACTCAGGGATTTGCTCCCTCGGCGGTCCGCTGTCACACGGCTCTCCTGTTGTTGTGTTTTTTGATCGTGGGCATCCACGCTTCTGGAATTTCTATTCCACTATCCCTGTTGATGTTGTTAGGGTGAAGTCTTATATGAATTGCCTCTTTGACCTTGCGTGTGTAGTAATAAGGGTCACGATTAATAAACTTTACTTCGTTCTAGAGTGGCTTATGTTCGGTGTTGTGGGCATGCTCTGAAACGGCGGAGGTCTCGGTACGGGCGAGTCGAATGTCTCGATCGTGCTCCTTAATTCTGTCTTGCATAGGTCTTCCTTCTTCTTAAGATGTACACCTTATATTTACATCGAAGTAGCAGTACTATCCTTTTTTTAAATTGTTTTTGTTCTCAAGTCAAACTAGTATTACTGTTTTAACTAAATTTCCCGAGAAAAAATTTTGCAAACTTTTAAAAGCTAATTATTGAAACTACATTGAAATTTTTGAAATGCTCGTGGTTTGTTTACAAAAGAGTATTTTCGAACTGAATTATTTAGTCCGCTATAGTGTAAAAAGATAATTATGATGTGTTAAAATACATTTGAATGACTTCCGAGATGTTTTCTGGCGGTAAAACATCCGGTTCTTGAATTCCACTAGACATCTCTTGATTTCAGTTGCGCGTGCATAGTGATCTTTGCCATGATTTCTGCGTATTATACTAGACTATGTAATTTGCGAAGAAGAAGAGTGTTTCGGTGAAAGCCCAAAAGGGCCTAGCTGCAAAATCATGAAAATATGAAAATTCAAGGTAAGGGCTCGAAGTTTAAGGAGTCTTTGCTGCTATTACTCGATCAGTTCTGGCGCACTCAAGCCGCCCACAACCTTGACAAAACACAACCTTTTCGAAATTGCCGGCAGCGGAATTGGATATAGGTCTGTCACGCACAACCCTTAGATAGTTCCCCACGACATATGTTTTTGCTGAGTGTCTCCTTAGACTCCGCAGGACATTCCTGTGTTTCTGTTGTCGATCGGCATTTCTAATAATCCGTGTACAAAGCCCCTCATTTATGAACCCCAAGATATACTAAGAGAGAAAATTTTAAAAATTAAAACCACCAAATTAAATCGCGATTTTGTGATAATATCCTACAAACGGTTACGTTAAGCATAACCTGACGAAATTTTTCTCTTATATTCGGTTTTTACATTTATTTGCTAATGTGTAGGGAAAATGGAATGCCTGACAACGAGAAAACAAATGCAGAGCTTTCAAGCCTCTACACAAGCATGACTTATTTAGGGTAAATATTCTGTCTTCATCTTTGATGCATCACATCAAAATCTTTGTCAAGTCACAGTGCAATAACATTCCGAGCTAGATTTCAAGCAGCTATTGTTAGTTCTGCTACTACTACTGATACTGTTGCTATTACTTTTTATTCTTCTGCTGCTTCCACTGCTTCTGCTACTGCTTCTGCTACTGCTTCTACTACTACTATTGCTATTGCTACTGCTACTGCTACTGCTATTGTTACTGCTATTACTACTACTACTTCTGCCACTGCTACTGTTTCTGCTTCTGCAACTGCTACTGCTATTGCTACCACTGCTTCTTTTTCTGCTACTGCCACTGCTACTACAACTGCGTCTGCCTCTGTTTCTGTTTCTGCTTCTGCTTCTGCTTCTGCTTCTGCTTCTGCTTCTGCTTCTGCTTCTGCTACTGCTTCTGCTACTGCTACTGCTACTGCTACTGCTACTGCTACTGCTTCTGCTCCTGTCTCTGCTTCTGCTTCTGCTACTGCTACTAGTTGAGCCGAGTTGCAAAAGGAGCAAAAGAGATTCAAAACAAATACATAAAACAAATACATAAACTAGTCTGGTGGGTTAATTCTGCTACAAACACGATTGGTTTTCCTTCCTGGCTCTCGAAAAAAAAAGTCTTTCTTGATTCATATCTGAGCGAAATCTCTTTTAATACAATAAATCCTCTATTGATCATGCAAAAGTGAAGTCAAGACGGCAGGATGTTTGACTCATTCTTTTTTCGCACTTTTATGGACCTAGACCTCATCTCGGTTGATAAAACGCAAAAAAAAAACCAAACAAACAAACAAAAAACTCGGCCAATATCTAGCCATCTTGACCTCACCCATGGTCAATAACGCAGACGTATCCCTTTTCTCGCTGGTATTTACAGACGCTTAGAAAAAAAATGACACATCTAAGTGTCAATTAAATCTCCTTTTTTACTTCTTGTTTGTCTTTTTTTTGTTGTGTTTTGAATCTTTTGAATATATTTTTTTCAACAGACTTTTCATCGGCTCAAGCCTGGGAGGTGCAGTATGTAAATATATCCTACCATATTACTATAAGGCTATGGTCGGAGTTAATTTTTCTTTAACGAAATTGACGCACTTTAGCTTTATCAACCTAAATGTAGGGAAAAGTACTGTGAACTGACACTAAACAACTAAACTAAACCCGGTGGAAGATCTCTACTTTCGGTAGTTTGTTGTTGTAAAGGTCATCTCTCAATATTGACAGCGGGTTACTAACAGCGCTCCTCAACTTCCAGAAGACTTACTCATAGCGTGCTCAAGTGACGTGTTTTCGAAACCCTATTTGTTAGTGCAGAAAACCACAAAATAACATAGTTCCAGCGAGTACGTATAACAGTTGCTGAACTACTGCTGCTGCAATGTAAAAAAAGAAACTGCTGCAAGTGCAAATTAGTTACTGCAGATAAAAGGTTGAATACTTGCCGCAAATTTCTTACAATGTAGTCGCAAAAATGCATCATAACGCATTGTAGGTGGGGTGAGTAATAAAACCTCTTGGATAAGATACGTGTCAGAGTACTTGAACTCTGTGCTCTTATTTAGGACTGGATCAAAATATGTAAACGGTAAACAATTTTTTAAAAGGAAAGAAGAGTATTAACGCGGAAAAGAACAAAAATGTCGAATTAACTCACACACAGGTATTTTGTGGTAAATTGTGTGTGTTGTGCGAATAACTGTGACCAAAAATAAACTATATTGGTGCCACGGATACCTGTTGGTACAAAATGCACACTGCAGACTGCAGACCGGATATAAAATGTAGACTAGGTACAAAATGTAGACTGCAGACTGCAGAGTGGGTACAAAATGCAGACTGAGAATCTAAAGAGTTTTTTCGTCTGGTATGTGATAACATGTCATCTTACAACTTACCGAGCGTCATGCAATCGCTTTTCCGCGATCAGCTTTCCCGATTGTTTGCACTATTGTGGAATATTCCTGGCCCATTTCTTGATCAAAATCGATCTTAATATAATTTCAAGCCTTCATATAGTCTTCTCACTTTGCGCGCGAGTTGGTTGGTGTGATGTCTGTACAGATTTTACCAATGTGATAAAAGTAGATGTAGATGTTAATGAGATGTCACTACTGAATATTTAACACGCACAGCATTCGAGAAACAATTGACAGCTTTGCAAGTGGTTCATATTATCATCTTTTTAAACGGTATGTGTTTATTCCGTTGACAAAAATGCGGACCGAGACCAAAACGAGGGGGGCACTAGGATTTTCAGTTTTGTGGTTTCAGCTATTTTTTAGATCGGTTTTTTGGTTTTTGTGCCAAAAAACTTCGGTTTTTCGGTTTTGGTGTTCATTGCGGTTTGTGGATATTCCGTTTTTCAGCATCTGGTTTTCGGTTTTCGCAAAAAATACCAGCGGGTTTTCGGATTTGATATCCGATGCGGTTTTCGATTTTTCCTATTTGACCTATTAGGGTTCCAGTTTCTCTTCGATCTGAGCGGCAGTTACGCGCCTCCACTGATCTCGAATAGCCGCTAAACGCAAAAGTTATCGAGAGAAATGCGTGACAAACCAATTGGAATATCGTAGGGATTCCTAGGTAGCCAACCAGTAGCCGTACCCTCCCCCTCCCCTCTCCCTCCCTCAAGGTGGGGGGAGGGGAGGGTACGGCTACACGTAGGGTACGACTAAGCACGGAACATTGCCAGAGTATCTTTATCAACGCCACCTTGAAGTTGCTGACCGAGTTACAGGCTACACGTGCACGTGACTGATTGATTCAACATTCAAATAGAATCTCCAAACTTTCAGGTCTTAGTTCGCAAATGGAAGTGTTGGATTAAGGATTTTTGATGAAACTTTCCAGAGTTATAGCGTTTTGCGACTGCAAAATTGCAATCCTATAGAGTACTTTTGTGCGAATTTCCTTAATTTAACTACTTTCCATTACCAGCTGCAGAGACCACGCTCGAGGTCCTCGAGAGAGCAGCTGTTAACTTAAGCAGATACTAGAAGATACGAATGCCAAGTCCATAGCATACATAAATCCTGTAATTAAATGAGTGTAGTTTACTCTGTATGCTCGACTTGTCATCACTGTATCGGACCAATCAGGGCTTTAATAACTGGGATGTGAAAATGTATCGGTTTTGACAGTTTTGCAGGCAGTTTTCGGTTTTGATCGAAATTTTTTTCGGTTTTTCGGTTTTGGATGATTTTTTCTAAGGTTTTGTGGTTTCTAATAGGCCCCTCTAAAACTGTTCCTTCGACTTGATGTATTTTCGACGTTAGTAGATCAAACCATATTAACTGACCTCCGTAAATCATTCATCTAGATAACAAAATCAGATAAACATGCTAACGATGGTATCTGAATTCGTCCTTGGCCAAACACAAAAGACTTCACAAGATAACTTTTTCTAGGCATCGAAAACATACACAAAATCGTTCATAGTTCATTTTAATCAGACATTCATCTAGAGATAGCACCGAGTAAACCAATCCAGAAAAATATAATCGGCACACTCAACAAATCATGAATCTTGCAACACAGCTTGCCGTTAAAGAACTGCTCAAATCAAAATGTTTGGTGCGATTCATCAACACCCCAAGCAATATTTGATTCAAAATTTTTCCACTCACTCTCGTCGTGAAGGAACAGTAACCATGATCGTGCTACAGGGCAGAGGACCCCATTTTCTCTCGACAAAACTATCCACCACTTTGTCAGCATGAGTAACACGTTTACTATAGGTAATCGGATATCTTTTAGCTGTCCAGTAGTATCGCACTTCTCATTAAGTGCGGTAAAATATACGTTAAAAACACAGAAAAGCCAACATTTCTCATTCTTAAAGATGATTCCATGTTACGAACCGCTCTCTCTGAATCTCTCATTACTTCGTTGAAATTTGAACACCTCTAAAACCAAAGAACAAAAACGACGCTCTGATTGGTGCAAGATACATACCCTAATGCGGCGATCTGATTGGTGCGAGCAAGATACCACTCTCTATACGCTAACATAGATTTTTTTTTTCAAATAACTCAAGAAAGTACAAGAAGGTCAGATGCAAACGGGAACCAGAGTCTCATGCAAAGCAACCTCCCCACTAAAATGCTTGATAGAAAGAAAAAGAACTCAAAGAATACATTGCATTGAATTCAAACATTTATTACGATAAAATCCTTTTTCTAGCATTTAACTGTCGTCAGTGGCAATAACAACTACGAATAAGACTTCACGAACACGGTCTGTCTAGGTCAAATACATGAACTAATTCAGCTTTGTATACCTTAGTGATGTAGACCTTAAAGGACTTTATGCGAGCATAACTTGAAATATAAGCCAAACAATTTAAAACCTTTGCATAAATGACAATGAAAGTCCATGAAACATCGACTTAATTTGCTTACCTCTTGAGGAAAAAATGGTGAAAACACCGCTTCTGTAGCAAAATCCATGATAAAGTTCAAAAAACAATTGATAAGGAGGATAGCTCCGCAGTGAGAAATCCCAGGTAAACAACCTCCAGAGGAACACTCTGAGCTTGAGGTTTCCTCTTTCCCACTGACTTGAAGGCTGTTACTTATCAAGCCTTTCCTCCGATCATTGGGTAGAATCTCTGAACTAGTAGTCATTATGGACCGGAATGGATAATCCTTTGACCAAAATGAGGACAGTTATTTACCACCCTTAGAGGGTAATTTAGTGTTATCAACTGAGTTGAAAACATAAATTGGGCACCATAAAGAGTTTAAAGGTTGGCGTTTCGAGCGTTGGCCTTTCGTCAGAGCGATCGACTAGGGGCTAACTCTCGAAAGGTCACCCCTTAAACTCTTTATGGTGAAATTAACATCGATAAAAAGGTAAGATAATGTTGGAACGTAAGTTTTATCTGAGTAACGGTTCCCGATATTTCTTAAACAATGAGACCCATCAAAGTCTGCAAATTTGCGTTTTTCCTTTTGTTCTCCCGAACCACATGTTTCTCTTGCTACCGAATAGTGGGTGATATCGTCAGTCATAGAAACAATTTGGAATCTCGATATGAATCATAAGCTGAATAACAAAACAGGCAAAACAAAAGAACAACTTAGTAACTTTAGGGCATGAATCATCAGTCAGACGAATATTAAAAAAAAGGCTCATTTTGAAAGTATACTCGTCTCACTCTACTTTAATTACAACAAATGAAATTTTTAAGGCAGATTATCCAATCCATAGGGAAAAAGCATCCGAAACCTTAACAATCTTCTCACGGCATATTCTTGATTAATTTCAAGGAAAAAAATGACATTTAGGAATGAGAATCGTTAACACATTACATACTGGTTAAATTTAATAAAGTGTAAAAATTGGCAAACGTGGGCGTCCTAGACAGGAGAATATTATTATTCATAAAAAAATGTAAGAGCCAGCAGGTAATTTAGTGTTAACAACTGAGTTGAAAACGTAAATTGGCCACCGTAAAGAGTAAAAAAGCTGACGTTTCGAGCGTTATCCCTTCGTCAGAGCGATTGGAAGTGCTAGGTGCTACCCTCACTGGGAAAGAATAGTGAATGATTTACAGAACGTGCCTAAAACACCACAAAGTAGACAATACTGATGGGGATGATAATAACTATGCTTCGAAGAGTCCAAAGTCAACTAACTCAAGAGATACAATCTGAGCTCGAGTACTGCACTCTCCTGTTGGATTGAAGGCTGTTGTTTAACGAGCCCTTCCTTTAATTAGAGAATCAAATCTGATCTTGATCACAGACATTTTCCATTAGAATTGGTAACAGTAGAAAAAATGTAACCATCGTTTTACAACTCATCTGAAAGCCAGATTTAAAACTTTTTAGAGGACGTTGACATTGATCTAATAGGAAGAGATAAAGGAAAGGTTTAAAGTTTTTCCGTTAGATCTGGAAAAAATAACGGTAAAAAAAATCCACGAGGTTTTAATGACATCTCCTCGCCTTCTATAAATTAAAATCCTTTCAGAAATTTGTTTTGTTTTGTATTGCTAAAAATAAATGATGATAACGATAATTCCACGAATTGTTAGCATAATATGAGATCATAGTTAAAAGCTATTACCTTGATGCTTTCCTGGGTGCAGACATAACACGAAGAGATTTACTTCAAAGGAAGTGTTTGAAATTTTCTAAAAAGTTCTTTATTGCAAAGGAATATGTATTTGGTTATTTCTATCATATTGTCTGTAACCTCCCCATAAAATGGGCAGTTTTTCCTAGAAGAAGAAATGTTTCCTTAAGGATCATACAAATGGTGTAAATCATCATTCACAAAAACAAATATTTAAAAAAGAAGAAGAAGAAAAGGCTTTATTATACATGCTTTTAAGAATACCAATAGCTACAATCAGGAGATTAAAATTCAAATTGAAGTCGAAGTCAAAATACCCTGATTACGAAACTATCAATGAAAAATATTACCACATCCTCACCTTTTTCACTGCGGTCTCTAATGAAACTGTTATGCTTTTATACACTTCTGATAAATTATGGGTAAATGATTCAATATTCTAAAAAGGAGCATCCGTAACCCTCTTTGTTGATTTGGAGTTTGAAATCATTATATGAGGACAACTAGTCACTTATTTACTAGGAACTACATTTATTTTCCAATGTAGGCTTCATTTGTTGTGATATATCATTAATCAATAAATATAAGTGCTAACCTCTTGAGGAAAGAATGGTGAAAACAAAGAGTATGTTACAAACGCCATAAAGCCGCAAACACCGTTGCTGGCGCAGAGAGCTATGTAGTGAAGAAGCGCAGGTGAATCATCTCCAGAGGAGCACTTTTCCTCTTTCTCGCTGAGTTGAAGGCTGTCAATTATCAGGCTTTCCCTATCATCATCGGATCGAATTTCTGAACTACAGGTAATGGTCATTTTCAGTTTGGATGGATAGTACTTTGACCAAAATGTCGAAAACTTATTGTAACTCTTAACAACAGCTTTCTTTTCAAAGCATGTTATAAAAATTCATTAAAAAAAGGGGAAAGAGGGTTGGACCGCGTTAGAACTGGGTTTGACTTTCTGCACCATCGAGCTTGACACATTGACGCAGAGGTTGCAAATAGCACGACAATTTCCGTTCCGATATTTGATGTCCATGGATTTTCAATGATTTAGAGGACTTTAAAGTTGAAAAAGGGAGGCCAAATTCATGTTTTTTTTCTCAGCTCAGCTGTGGGGTACCTCTTATCTTTAACTGAGAGTTAATCTATTAGAGTTGCCTCCGCATGAGATATGACATCAAAACATGACTCAAGGCCGAAGAGTTTTAGTGCTTTAGCGGCACAATAAACGATAGATTTTCGGGCAATCAGAGAGAAAGTTATATAAAAGTTATGTAGGATTGGAAATTTCCTTGTTTCATTAGTCGGCGTGCGTTCAATGAGATATGCAGCACGTGGAAAGTTTGGGGATCGCATAAGATGCGTGGGAGATGCTCGAGGCGCAGCCGAGAGCAACACTAGCTTCTTAAGCGCTCTTTAAACTTTCCAAGTGATTCATATCTTGAGAAATGCACAGCTGACAAAATGAAATGCACATCGAGAAATAAAGCACTTGGATAGTTTCAAGAGGCTAGAGTTGCTCTTGGCTGCGCCTTGAGCAACTCCTACGCTACTTTCGTGCTCATCAAACTCCCGCGTGCTTGATATATCGATGAAGCACCTACGAACCAATTGATAAATATCCCCTGCAGCCTGTTACAGTGATATGAAATTCTAATATTCCATCTAAATTCAAATTATGAAAGACCACACATTGTCTCCTCTGTTTCAAACAAGCTGAACATGCGTTTCGAGAGGCAATTTTATTTCATTCGGTCCCGGGGTTTTTCTCATTTTTCAAAATTTCTCTTCTAGTTTATGTTGGAGACATAAATAAATTATTTTGTGAATAAACATCTTTTCAACAGCTTTTCGTTAGACAAGTGGCCAATCGTAGGTTTCTCAACAAGCTCAAAGGAGGCGAGAGTATACTAAAAATTTTCGACTGCATCATAGCCTTATGTTTAAATTGCTCGAACATGATAAAATTGCTTTAGTGCGTTTGCTAGATATTTCAGACTTCAAACCCAGGCAAAATCTGAATACTTCAAAAGCGACGCGTTTCGCTTCTTTATCGGCTTTCACTTGTCCATATATTGTTTTTGAGTCCTTGTCTGGCACAAACATTTTTAAGCCTTTTTTTTAGCTTTTACAAAGCATTAAAAGTGATTTGTATCATTTGGAACCTGAAAATTGCCCGAAATTCAAACAAATCCGCAAAATCTAAAAAGAATTGCGCAACCAAGAGGATTTGCTGGTCCACCGAATACATTATTTATTGCGGGAGCACGACATATATTCAGGAAATAGGATTTTTAAACAGAAAAGATCAAGAATAAAGGGCGTACCCAAGTTACCGCCTACTTCCATAGATTTACGAGCTACGTGCTTTTCGAGGAAATTTCCTGGTTGTACAATCAGTGCAGAGATGAAAAGTAAAAATTGTTTATTCCTACAACCTTAAAAGAGAGGAAATTAGTTGCGCCTAAACAAAACATAAGGGAGTTCAAGAAATGATAGATATTGTGAGAAGGTTAATTTCCAGGACGTTCCTGTGCAGAGATCAATTTTAACAAAAGCCATTATATTGTTTCCTTAAGAGTTCAATTGGAGCATTACTTACGGAAAGAGCCAGTTACCACGGAATCTAAACAAGAGCTTTAATTTGTAATCTCGAAGAACTACTTTCTCCTAGCAGTTTGATCTTTATACAATCTTTTACCATAATAGAGTCGGGTAAACTTGTGATGAAAATGTATGTCTCCCTTAAATTCCCAACCCCTAAATAAGCTAGAATGATATATTTGGAACATTATTTTTTTTAAACTGTCTTTTAACACCGAACTGGCCGGTGATTCAGTTCTTATTCAGATCAGATGCGCATACAGAAGCTTGTGGAACGCGTCAATATTATCCTGGTCATTTCATTTGAGACAGTAATAGCATCCATAATCGCGTTAGAGCTCAGGTTGAAGTCTTCCTCAACAAATGTCTGAAATTCCTTTGGATGCCGATATACTACGTTCATAACTTTTCTAAATCTTTATCTGTTTTCCTTATAGTTGGGTTAAAATCCCACACCGACTGGTCTTGTGTTCTTCATATTTGCCGGTATTAACGCCTCATATAGCAGTATATGTGGAGGGTATATATATCACTTACCATTTTAATAGCAGATAAAACAGTAAATGATATTTAGATTTTTGCAGGTGTAGTAATCACCGATCACTTCTCCTGTATCCAAGCAAAGGTTATCTATTTCTTATCTTGCACTTATCTCAAAGCTAGACATTGGTGAAACAGGAAGATGATTTGGCGACTGATTCCGAGAACACTTTCGTGACGTAGTAAGGATTGGAAAAGACACATTCAAATCAGTCGCTAGACACTTTATCTCCCAAATCATTTTAGGCACGATGTGGCAGTCTGTGGCCTTTCGCTACATCTGGACAGCTCAGAAAGCCGCAAAACTCTAGAACAACAACAAAAAAAAACCTTCAAATGGACATCCCTAATCCCACAGTATAAAGAAACACTTTCGATTCAACTAACTCATTCTTTTTTCTTCGCGTTACCATGTTACTACCAACAGCGTAGCTCCGTGCTTATGTAAATAAGCCAAACACTACCCAAAATCCTCTGACGAAGGGCTAACCGGCTCGAAACATTATTTTTAGAAACTCATGACGTCTCTAACTTCTTCATATCGGTATTCCATCTTTGGATAAGAACGTAAAAAGCTCTTTGCTCATCCCTATTGCCTCTCAGAAGAAATATCGTACAATGTTTTTTATCAGTCTGCCCTTGGTAGCTAATTGCGGTCGTCAGTAGAGACATAGTTTGGCCAAATTTATCACGAAAGGAAGTTTGCTAAACAAATATCTAGACAGAAGGGTGAGAAAGCCCTCCGACTTCGTCTTAACATGCCTGTAACAATTTCGTAAGTTATATGCAAGCTGTTGCAAAATAATTTTTCCGAAAAATATCAGCCGAAACACGGAGACAGAATCGCCCTATAAACCCTGCCACTTACACGTGTGATGACCACACTTACTACTTGCAAGTAAGCCCGCGTTTATAGCATATCGGTGCATATTGGTAGAGATTTCACCATGAAGAGTTGCAGCTCCAAGACTCTCCTAACTAATAGCCCCGGTGAACCCCCCCCCCCCGAAGACAAAAAAAGAAACCTGGACTTCGCGTAACATAGTCCTCCTTTTTTCGATGTGCCTGGTTTACTTCGTCCTATACGCAGCATACTCAGTTTACGCGCCATTCTTACCAATTGAGGTAAGTACAATAATGTTGTAGAAAAGGTTGTGGTTATTCATCGTGGTGAATAACAATAAAAGCTAAGTTTTTCGTTTGTCTCACGATGTAGTCACGTGTGATGTAGATCGCAACGTTTCGACTGCATACTGCTAGTCTTCTTCAGGCGATGAGGTCGACTGGTCATGTGTGATCTTATAAAGCATGATGCTCTGCTGTGATTAGTTGTTATTCAACAGCTCTGATCGGTGCATTTCGATCCTTGCTGTACACTCAGAGATTTGCTCCCTCTGTTGTTTTGATAGTGGGCATCCACGCTTCTGGAATTTCTATTCCACTATCCCTGTTGATGTTGTTAGGGTGAAGTCTTATATGAATTACCTCTTTGACCTTGCGTGTGTAGTAATAAGGGTCACGATTAATAAACTTTACTTCGTTCTAGAGTGGCTTATGTTCGGTGTTGTGGGCATGCTCTGAAACGGCGGAGGTCTCGGTACGGGCGAGTCGAATGTCTCGATCGTGCTCCTTAATTCTGTCTTGCATAGGTCTTCCAGTCTCTCCGATGTACACCTTATATTTACATCGAAGTAGCAGTACTATCCTTTTTTAAAATTGTTTTTGTTCTCAAGTCAAACTAGTATTACTATTTTAACTAAATTTCCCGAGAAAAAATTTTGTAAACTTTTAAAAACTAATTATTGAAACTGTATTGAAATTTTTGAAATGCACGTGGTTTATTTACAAAAGAGTATTTTCGAACTGAATTATTTAGTCCGCTATAGTGTAAAAAGGTAATTATAATGTGTCAAAATACATTTAAATGACTTCCAAGATGTTTTCTGGCGGTAAAACATCTGGGTCTTGAATTCCGCTAGACATCTCGTGATTTCAGTTGCGCGTGCATAGTGATCTTTGCCATAATTTCTGCGTATTAAACTAGACGATGTAATATACGAAGAAGAAGAGTGTTTTGGATAAAAGCCCAAAAGGGCCTAGCTACAAAATCATGAAAATATGAAAATTCAAGATAAGGGCTCGTAGTTTAAGCAGTCTTTGCTGCTATTACTCGATCAGTTCTGGCGCACTCAAGCCGCCCAAAACCTTGACAAAACACAACCTTTTCGAAATTGCCGGCAGCAGAATTGGATATAGGTCTGTCACGCACAACCCTTAGATAGTTCCCCACGACATATGTTTTTTCTGAGTGTCTCCTAAGACTCGGCAGGACATTCCTGTGTTTCTGTTGTCGATCGGCATTTCTAATAACCCGAGTCAAAGCCCCTCATTTATGAACCCCAAGATATACTAAGAGAGAAAATTTTAAAAATTAAAACTACCAAATTAAATCACGATTTTGTGATAATATCCAACAAACGGTTACGTTAAGCATAACCTGACGAAATTTTTCTCTTATATTCGGTTTTTACATTTATTTGCTATTGTGTAGGGAAAATGGAATGCCTGACAACGAGGAAACAAATGCAAAGCTTTCAAGCCTCTACACAAGCATGACTTATTTAGGGTAAATATTCTGTCTTCATCTTTGATGCATCACATCAAAATCTTTGTCAAGTCACAGTGCAATAACATTCCGAGCTAGATTTCAAGCAGCTATTGTTAGTTCTGCTACTAATACTGATACTGTTGTTATTACTTTTTATTCTTCTGCTGCTTCCACTGCTTCTGCTACTGCTTTTGCTTCTGCTACTGCTTTTGCTTCTGCTACTGCTTCTGCTACTACTACTGCTATTGCTACTGCTACTGCTACTGCTGCTGCTACTGCTACTGCTATTGTTACTGCTATTACTACTACTACTTCTGCCACTGCTATTGTTTCTGCTTCTGCAACTGCTACTGCTATTGCTTCCACTACTGCTACTACTACTGCTACTGCTTCTGCTCCTGTTTCTGCTTCTTCTTTCTTGATTCATATCTGAGCGAAATCTCTTTTAATACAATAAATCCTCTCTTGATCATGCAAAAGTGAAGTCAAGACGGCAGGATGTTTGACTCATTCTTTTTTCGCACTTTCATGGACCTAGACTTCATCTCGGTTGATAAAACGCAAAAAACAAACAAACAAACAAACAAACAAACAAAAAACTCGGCCAATATCCAGCCATCTTGACCTCACCCATGGTCAGTAACGCATACGTATCCCTTTTCTCGCTGGTATTTACAAACGCTTAGAAAAAAATGACACATCTAAGTGTCAATTAAATCTCCTTTTTTACTTCTTGTTTGTCTTTTTGTTGTTGTGTTTTGAATCTTTTGAATATATTTTTTTTCAACAGACTTTTCATCGGCTCAAGCCTGGGAGGTGCAGTATGTAAATATATCCTACCAAATTACTATAAGGCTATTGTTGGAGTTAATTTTTCTTTAACGAAATTGACGCACTTTAGCTGTATCAACCTAAATGAAGGGAAAAGTACTGTGAAATGACACTAAACAACTAAACTAAACCCGGTGGAAGGTCTCTGCTTTCGGTAGTTTGTTTGCGGGTTACTAACAGCGCTCTCCAACTTCCAGAAGACTTACTCATAGTGTGCTCAAGTGACGTGTTTTCAAAACCCTATTTGTTAGTGCAGAAAGACTCTTTCCACCACAAAATAAAATAGTTCCAGCGAGTATGTATAACAGTTGCTGAAAATTTAAAGTGACTTTGCAACTGTGGAATAACTACTGCTGCTGCAATGTAAAAAAAAGAAACTGCTGCAAGTGCAAATTAGTTACTGCAGATTAAAGGTTGAACAATTGCCGCAAATTTCCTACAATGTAGTCGCAAAAATGTATCATAACGCATAGTAGGTGGGGTGACTAATAAAACCTCTTGGATAAGATACGTGTCAAGGTACTTGAACTCTTTGCTCTTATTTAGGACTGGATCAAAATATGTTGTCCGTCACTCCTTTGTAATCATTATAAAGGTTTTGTAATTGCTGAAATTGCTCTTTAAGATTGGGATCATAATACCTACAAGTCAAAGAAGAGTGAAATTGAAAGAAAAAGCCCGTATTAAAGTCTGTCAAGGAGATTTAAGCAACAAAAGCAATGTTAGACATGGTTTGATGCTTCTCTGTTTTAAAGATTTGATGAATGTAACCGAGAAGTTACAACAATTAAATATTTAAACCAGAATAGCATCAAACCATGTCTGATTGTCCACCTAGCTGCCTTGAGAACTTTAACATATCAAATTCATTGTTTTATTTTTTGCTATACTAGAGTTTATCCTCAGAAAAGCCAAATCCTGTGACTCCTTCCCTGACTAAAACGGATATAGAAGGATTGAAGAGAGATATTCCCAACAAATGTCCCAAGAATATTCCCTTAGTAGCTTCTGAAGAGTGGGAATTCTGGTTAGCAAATACAGAGTTTAATCTATTATCAGTACCTGACAACTACACTTGGCCAGTGGATAAATTGAAGAATGAACTTTTAGAGCTCAAAGAGAGAGAGATCCAGCCAATCACAGAGGTGAATAATAATTAAAATGTAGCAGTGGGCACTAAACAGCCAAGCCTTTAAATGGTCCTATGGATGTAAACGAGAAATAATTAGCGGGGTCCATTTCTCTAACCCTTTCTGTGTCCAGTTCTAGATTATACAATTCCAATTTTAGATATATATTAATGTACATGATAAAATTACATGCTTCTGATTGGCTGAAAATGAGCGAATTCTCATGTAGCACAAGTGCAAAGTTGTAACATGAGTGCAAATTACAAATAGCACAAACCCACTTGCAAAATTTTGTCTGTATATTATTAACAAGTAATGACATGATTTTTTTCTAGCAATTTGATCTACTAAGCACTTATAAATTTTTTCAAAGACCACACAATTGCACTTGTCCTTCAAGCTTGTGCAAAAATTTTGTTGTCTTTGGAAAACTTATTTGTTCTTATTCACACCAAATTTGCCTTGAAATCATGTTATTACTTATACTAATAGAATATGACATGACCACATAATCCAATTATATAATTAATCAAAGAATAAATTTGATAATTGATTCATCTTAGTCTCATTCAGTCGAAATACGCTCCTAAAAGGGCAAATTCTGATGAAATGTCCGTCGAATATTCCAGACTATTGTAAAACAAATCTGTTTTCCCAATGGCAACTTGTTTTTATCACTGTTTTCTCTATCCAAGAACTTAATGCATAATGTTGTATGGGGCTGTGCGGAAATTTTACCCATACTTACACTGGCGGTTACAGGACCCCGAGGGAAAGGGAAGCGCCAATATTGAAATGGTAGACGATTTCCTTGCTACCCTTCAAATCAGTCTAAAAGTTTCTAGCCATCGAGGAGGACAATTTTGGGGTGCATTATTGGAAAGGTACTTACTCTGGAAAATGGACTCCTTAGCATGCTCTACGACAGAAATCTAGACCGTGGGTGGTGATCCTTCCTAAGAGCTGTGCAGTTCATTTGAGCTTACGGAAGACAACAAGCTAATGCCATCAACAAGAAAATTTCTTAAGGAAAGATATGTCACTCTGAGGAAAAATCATTCGTGAGTTTTTTCATCTACAGATGTAGCTTCTAAAGAGGTCCAGTATGTTAAAGAGAGGTATCATCCATCATTCTCTTTCATTATATTTGACATTTCAGCACCAAACATGGTGTTCATTTAGAACATAAGATATTGCTCCGGAGAAGCATCTGGCTTCTTCTAAAATTATCCAGCTAAATTTTATTTTTTGTCTGTCTGTTTGTTTTTTCCTCTCTTCCATCAGGCATTGAGAATGTTAGATCTGTCATAGGACACTGCTCTTATGCTGATACATTTAACCCTTTGACCCTAAGAGTGACCAGCATCTAATTTCTCCTTACAATATCAACCCTGAATCAAACATTAAGGTCATGAGAGTAAAGGAAATGATCACCAACTAAGCTCTTGTTTGTTGAACAAATTCTCCCTGTCAGCACCTTAGGAAATGTATAGAGAACAGTATGGAGAATATGCATACTGAGTTTTAGGTGTTCAGGGTTGAAAACAAAAAACAAACAAACAACAGCAAAATAATAAAGACAATGTTACACAGCCATCAAGGGTGAATTTAACGCAACATTGTTGTAGAACTAAAATGTTTAACACAAGGATTGTTATTCTTGCTTCAGTCCAGTCAAACCTAAAGAGAAAAAAGCAACTTCTGCACTTGATTTCTTTGGTTCTACTTCAGTTGAAAGGGAATCCAGGAAAACATTTGCCAAAAGAGAAAACAGGTGAATAACTAACAACTCTTGTTTTGCCCACAATTTTTTTTTATAGAAAAAATCAGGCATCCTGTGTATTTTTAACCGTACTTCATGCATCATGCACTGAACAGGGAAAACTTTAAACCTCACCATACCTTGCCTTACTATAAAATTCATGCATCACATGTTAATTTTCGGGCTTAATCAAGCATTCCTGGTATACCCTCTGCCAAGCTGTTATAGTTATATCAGGACTAACTACAGTGAACACATACCATGTCACAAAATTAATGGGTAGTGACCAATTGAGGAATAGTTTTGGCAAAAACGACACCATGGGCCCCCTTAAAGGGATACGTCCTTTTGCCTCCAAGATATTTAAATCAATTCTCTTTGCTGTCTGTCCACAAGTGTTATGAAAATATCTTCGAGAATATGGTGTTCACTCAAACGATATCTTCTGGTCTAATGATTTTCTTTCTTCTCTTTAAATTGCTGCTTGACTTGGTATTGTTACGAGAAATTAGAAAATCAACCAATCTTGAGAGTGCAAATTTTAAGCTTGATCCAGAGCTCAGCCCCTTTAATGATCATACCTTGATTCTCTGTAGAACCATCAAGAATTTTTTTTTCATTTTGCTCAGAGATCTGACGAGTTTGAAGAAAGTGAAGACTCCAAAGTGAATAGAAAAGAAGAGTACGAGAATGAGGGAGAAAAAGAAGGAGGAGAAAATGGGAATGTTAACCATCACACAACGGAGCAACCATCAAAGAAAAGAAAGGAAGACCTCCCAGAATCAAAGTCTGAGGTTAAAGAGCCTTCCCCTGAGAATAAAAAGTTTTGTAAGCCTTTTGATCACCATCCTTTATTGTTCCAAAATTAATCAGTACTATTAATGCTTAAACGTGCCACCCTGATACTAGAATTGATTGGATCTGATATGATTGCATGTGTATGGTATGTGTCTTTAAGCACTTGAATAAGGTACTTGAAGATGAAACAGTAACATTTTATGATCAAATTTGGCTGCGCATAAGATCCAAAAGCTTACTCGAACTTGTTAACTGGTGGTACATGTCAGTTGTATATGTAAACCTGTCCTACCTATGTCCTTCACATACTTTATGTGCTCCATCGAGGAGAAACTTGCACATGAAAACAAACTTCCCAATTTCTACAGCAGATACGTTGATGACACCTTTGCTCTAGTACCTGACCTTGCCGCTGCTACCGATTTCCTATCAGTTCTGAATGATGCGTACCCGGTAATCCAATTTACAATGGAAACAGCTGTCAACAACAGCTTACCCTTCGTAGGCATGGTAATCACTAAGACCGACAATCACCTTAACACCTCTGTTTACAGAAAAAAGGCCAACAAAGGGCTTTTACTCCATTGTCAGAGCCATGTAGACAACAGGTATAAACGATCACTAATAAGAACTATGCTTGATCGCGCTAAACGCCTGTTATCCTCACCGGACCTCTTCTCCAAAGAATGCTACGATCTAAGGAAAATGTTTCTGAAATCAAAATATCCTGTAAAACTTATTGATTCCATTTTTATGAGATTTAACGCCTCCCAAGATCTGAACCAAAGCTGTATCGAGCCAATTGACAGCCCTGTATTAATAACCTTGCCTTTCAAAGATCAGAAATCTGCCGACTCCGTTCGCAAGCAACTAAACGACCTTGGAAAGAAAATCGATCGTGTAATACAACCAGTTTTCACAAGTAAGAAAATCTCTGAAGATTTAAAAGTTACGTAAACAAAGCCCTCACTTGTAAACCAGCAATGCGTTGTGTATGAATTTCAATGTAATTCGTGTGATTCGAATTATATAGGCTACACCTGCACATCGAGGAGTATAAGTATTCCGTCATCCGTAAAGACCTAAAGGATAAACACAATCAAAGACCTACCAATCTTCACGAGCAGTTTACCATCTTAAAGAAATGCCACGGAAAATTTGAGTGCCTTATTTACGATATGCTTTTGATAAGGAAAAAGAGACCGACTCTGAACACTCAAAATGACTCCATTCCAGCGAAACTGTTTATTTAAAATATTTTTCCATTCTTTTGTTTATTCCCGCCTCGTTTATTCTAATGTAATTTGTCACTTACTATTGTATATATAACGTTCACTATCTTGCTATAATTTGCATTTGATAATGGTGACATTTCGTCGCCGAAACGTCATGTTTTTATATCGCTACTCTTTATTCTAAAATGTTTCTCAAAACCTCTCATCATTAGAACTATGAAATTAGATGGTTTTCACTCAGATGCACGTTGCTAACAATACTTGCAACAAAACGTTAAGCACCTACCACTCCCCTAATCCAACATTAACCCTTGCTTGCTATCAATGGATGGTTTTTTGGGTTAGGGGAGGAGAAGATGCACAGATGCCGACGTTCATCCCAAATGTTTCTAATGTATCTACAGAGTTTTTTTTTCCATTTTTCACATGTTATAACTTTTCAGTTTGACAGTATTAAGAGGCCTTTAAGGGAAGAATTAATTACTTGTCTGTATATCTTGAATCATGCACGCAATTAATATTTTAATTTTATGGAGCAGAAAACTGTTTGAATGGACTGACATTTGTTATTACAGGAGTCTTGGAAAGTATTGAGAGAGAGGAGGCGGCTGATTTGATTCAAAGATATGGTGGAAAATTTACCCAATCAGTGAGCAATAAAACAAGTTATGTCGTTGTGGGACAGGATCCTGGAGAGCATAAACTTTCTAAGGTACACTGTAATACACAGATCAAAAAAGGAAAAAAAAAACATTAACACGAACACCAACATATGGGTTGCACCTTTTCCCCTAAATGTTTGCAACAAATCAGTGGTGCGGCTTACTGCGAAAACACCAGGGAAACTTACCACATATTTGCATAAGTTAACTCAATTAATTGACGATCCATAAGTCTGTGTAGTAAACTAACAAGAACTACAAAATTTACAAGGGAAGAAATTAATTATTTCTTTTGCAAGTTTGTTGGCTTCTAAAAGAGCTGTTCTTGTTCATAGGCATAAGCTTATATTTCTTGCTGAGGAGTTCATTAAACATTGCTTTGTTTAGAGACCCTTTAACTGATTTAAGGTTGTCTCTACTTCCTTTAACAGCTAAACATTACTAGACAAGTGAACTATGGTATCTTTGTTGTTGTTGCCCTTTTTTTTTTCTTTTTTCGACTTTGGTTCTTTTCTGTTAGACTAAGCAATGTGGAACATCACAAACAGATGAAGGTCTGTTTGAGCTTGTCAGAACAAAACTAGGCATGAGACCAGCTATGAACCACCAAGTGTGGAGAAGAAGACAAAGAAGAAGGAGAGAGCTGAACCAGGGGATTCCCTCAGCCAGGGAAAAGATCAATTTGAAAGTGATTTGTCACAACTGATCTGTGTCATCTCCAACAACACAAACACCATCATCATCACCTGCACTGAAAGGTGGATGTTTCAATCCTTTCCAACAATTAGCGCAAGAGCATGACTTCACTGAAAATTTAATTCACACTTCAGCTGTATGCCTTAAATTTCCTCACCAGCGAGCATCCTACATTTATTGTGCGGCGATTATACTTTGTGAACATAATCTCTCTTATGTGCATCCAGGTACATGACTATGAACAACTTACTGATGACATAAACACATGTTTCCTAATTCCCATATTCAGAGATACATTTTTTTAAACAGCTGTAACTTATGAACTTTGATGAATTTATTTCACTCGACAGTCATTTATACATGTAGTTTGTATGTTAGTAATGAAATCACGATTTTAAACATTCTTATTTTGCACAGCTTTCTTTTTCAACAAAGACCAAGATGGGTCGTCCTTTAAGGCAGCTCTTTTGTCCGGTTCCCCAGGAGTTGGAAAAACAACAACAGCAACACTGGTTTGTGAAGAGCTTGGTTTCACGTACACTGAAATGAATGCCAGTGACACACGGAGCAAAAAGACCTTGGAAGAACACATTTCTCAGTCACTGAGCAATAGAACCATGGATGGCCTTCTCACAGGTTGTCAAATTTCTGTAACATTTGGAATGACTTTGATATTATTAAAGATGTTTCATTCATTCTCCTGTCTTACTAAACTGACTTTCCACTGTAGTTAATTTATTATTATCAACTGAGTTAGTAACATAAATTACAGCTCTATTGGTCAACTTTTCCTACAAAACTTGTGAAGTTTCCGAGCCGACTAGTCGCCCTCATCATTGATAAGAAAATTTCCTTCACTATGCTTTCGGTATGTGTGTTTCTCTTGTGGTGTAAAACACCTAAGTAACGCATGAGGTCTCGTTAGTTTTGGTTATATAATAAGTGAATAACCCTCATCTCTTACTCATCCGAGTTCCACGTGCATACTGTAAGAAGCGAGTTTTTTTGTTTTTGTTTTTTTCCCGCTTTGATTCGCTTTGATTCGCGGCGCAAGCGCAAAGCCTATAGTTTGGTCATGGTTTCTAATATGTCCTTATAGACAAAGGAACTATGCTCATTCTCCCCAGCGCTTTCAGCGCCCTTCGATCAACCTAAGCAGGCGGTGGTTTAACGACCATCACACTAACTAAAAAAAAATAAATAAAAAAGTAGCATGTTTATGTCATTATGCTACAACACGGATTAATGAAAATGAAAAGTCAAAAGATGTAATATGAGGCCCTGTCCAAACTTGGCGTTTAAATAGTGAAACAGCATAGCTACAAAATAGAATCATGGATCACGAAATAAACAATGACTCACGATTTTCTGTTTCGAGTTCGATGAGCTCATATTCAGCTTCTTCAATACTGCTGATGTTACCAAGTGCACCGTTTTGTTACACACTTGTGGGGCAAATCACATTTTCACAGGAGTTCAGGTGAGAAAAAAATAAATTAATAGCGACCTAATGCAGTGAATGAGATAAACGGGTATTGACTAAAGATACAAATAGAAATAATTTAAAACATGAGACGAAAGAATGAAAGAAATATCGATCCTATTTACTCGTTACGAACGCAGGATCGAATCTTAGACCATCGGATTTCACGATCTGAAGTTCTCCCACATAGATATACATTTCTCGTCAATGAGCCATGACATACAGTGGATACATAAAGGATCATCCTGCATCCGGCTTAGATCGTGAATGTCGAAAGTTTTATGTCTTAAAATACATAATGATAGAAAGGAAATTTTAAGCTCTTTCGTGACAAAGGAAAATATAATTTTTAATCGACGACCGAAAAAAAAAACCCCATCCGTCAGGTCAGGTTAAACGACAGATTAAATATCAATGCTGACATGTAGATGAACATACCAGACCTTGAGGTAGCGTATTTATCTTCCCATGAGGGATTTACGAAGCTGCGGCATTTCTGATTCCAGTATCATGTGTGTAACTTGTCTGTATGAACTATTATACATTTATTTATGACCTCGCTTACCGCATCCAAACCCAGCAGACAATTCTGGAGCTCAAAGAGACAGAGAGCTCGGGCCTCAGATTTCTCTTCCAACTTAAAGACAAATGGTTCAGTAACAATTTATTCATAAAATTCCTGTAGGATACATTGAGGGTTCCTGTACACAAAGATGCATGGAGTAGCTTGGAGTACACAGATTTAACAAATTTTGAATATCTTCCTCGGATATTTCTTCAAGAACAGTTCTTATGGTATCGCTTTAATTCTTTCCAAGACGCGAAACGATTTATATATGCTTTTCTTCAGATACAACGAGAATTCAAGTATTTTTCTTGCAAAAGAACTTTATTGGAGTTAAATTTATTGCAGTATTCTTGAGGTGAGGAAAGTTAATGTAGAAATATGTAGCATATTATAATCGAAAGACGAGAAAATTGGAAAAAAAAGTATACATAAAGAATACATATTATCGATGTGATTTCTTTAGCTTTGTATCTCCCTCCGGTGATTTCACTGGACACCTACGCTTTTGACTGCAAAAATATTTAGTGCAGAATTGGCGGGAGTTATTTACAAGAAAAAAGCTTACCGTTATTATGAAGTTGTCACGGTGAGAGCGGAAAATGAAAATTTGAGAGAACTGTAACGCCGGTGGGAAGATAACCAAAAACAAATGTGTATCATATTGAACGAGGGATATATCGAGTTGATCACTGAAAAGAAATTGCATTGGTACAATATAACTCATGGTGTGAATTCATCCTTATCGATTCAGTTATGGCAGAGTGTAACATGCCCTGCTCTGAGAAGAAAGGGGGTTTTGCGGATTGCGAGTGTTTACACTAAACGAGAAAGAGCTGAATTTAAATCACAGAATTCATTAATCGCCATGGAGATGCATGCAAACAAGTAATAATCATAAAAAAAATAAAAAAAAAACAAACACAATATTTTTCTTGAAGAAGAACAGCAATTTTAATCACGAAACTGGGCATTAGATGAGGTTAGATCTTTCAAACTCGTGAATATGTTACCATCATTTTTTCATCGAAAGTGTTGTATAAAGCAAAATATTATTCTTGATATTTTCAGGCATGTAGAATTAACAAATGACATCGTTTGGAGAATAAAGGGATTCAGAGGATAACAGTTCAACAGGTACAAATCAATTTTCATTCTGCAACTTATTAGAGCTGTAGAGCTCATGTTATTTATAATCAAAGATCGCAATCTTATTTTCCTTGCGGCTGACAACAATCAAATTTAATTTCAGTCGAATTTTCCCGGTTTATTGTTATCAGATGTGAAGATATTTCAATGGTTTCTCTTATTTGACTCGTGGTTTAATAGTCTGCACGCGATGCAATTTCCTTAAGCCTGAAACTCCTAGAGGCGACATAACTTGTAACTTATCCTTGTAATATCAATACGTTATCCAGCAAACAAGTAATCAGAATACTCAAAGTTTTATCAGGTAGAATTCGTTCTCTTTGAACTACCACCTAATTTCTGTATCTACTTTGAAGTGAAACATGTAGCAGCTAGAGGGAAGAGTTAACGATTAGATCACGCGATGTATATAATTATAGCTCTCGTCAATATCAAAACCAGCAAATATCTCTCGAAAACAAACGAACTTTGAAACAAAGCTCGAGATTGAAAAAAAAGTACACAACCCCTATCCTTCTTTTGATATCATAACATTCACGATATATAGAGATAATAACGGTAATATGGTTGTCGGTGAAATACCAGAATTTTTTCAGTTTCCCAAACGTGACATCTCCACCGCAAGCTGTAAATGTACCATTTAGATCTTCACATATCAAGGTATCAAGGTCGTCATTAGAACCGAATTTATCAACATGACAATTTTACTTTCCATGTGGGCTGTTTTTTTTTTTACCTGAAGCTGAATTCAATTCTTTTTTATAGGAAATAGTTCTTGTAATGAGAAATTGTTGTATTACAATGTCCCAAATTGAATTGGTTTTCCGGCGAGCTGAGTTTCGGTGTAGCGGATCTCTGTATTCGATGCACCTGCTTAAAAAATTGTATTTGATTCAAATTTCCAATCAATATCTTTTGAATAAAAAGGATGATACATGTCGGCCTATGGATACGAATTTATCTGCTAGAATTAAATTATCTATTTGAAGGAGTAAAAGATGTCATGAACACTCGATGGTAAAATTCGTATCCACGCGCGGTTATCTAATACCTCATGTATGCGTGTGCATTACTGAACAAGTGTGAGCTTAAGAAGGCTGTACATCGGCCAATTTCCCTCACTACATTTTAAGCCGGGACCGAGACGAAAGCTTCGTCAGCAACGGACCAAAGGATGTATCACACGATCACAAATATATTCATGCACTATGGAATTACCAAATAAATCTGCAAGTTTCGTTGTGGTTTTTGTTTTGTTTTGTTTTCATTTAGGACGAATCTGTGACCTGTGTTTTAGCAAATGGAAAAAGGAAAATGGAAAAGCTTTCATTCATAGGACAAAAATATACTGTTTAGTTATGACATTATACGGGGTATTCAACAGGCTACAAGCATTTCTTTTTTCCTTTTGTGGGGAATCAAAGTGGGAATCGAAAGAAAACACATTTTGCACTCTTGGGTAGCCGATCAGAGCACAGCTTTCCTGCTCGCTCACGGGTCCCACCTTAACATATAAATAGCAGAGGAATTGAGAAAACCTGTCCACAAAAGTGAAAATTTTAACCCCAGAACCACGATGACTACGATTTCTTGATCACTTATGAAAACGAAACCTCGTCAACGACACGATTAATTATTCCGGTTTCTTAAACGCTTTGGAACATCAATCCACCTCCTCGCAAAACTTGACACGGCAATCGTCGACAGTGAATAAATTTCTGTCTTCAAATGTTCGAACTACGTATCTACCAGGTGGTTAGTAGTCTCATTTCTAACTGGTTACCTGCCAGAGCGAGGTTTTAGTAGATATACCTTTACGCGCGATGACAGATTAAATGGCATAATGTTTGCGTGTTTACATTGTACGCTGGAAGATAAAACTGTGGGTTCAGTAAATGCTGATATTGGAGCAGAAGCTTGTTCTGTAGGGCAAGACCACCTCAGCAGCTTCAGGGAAATGTCCTAAATTTCCCATTTACTATAATATTGCAAAAGATTCTTTTTTGATCAGCAATTCGTTCACAAATAATTTTTTCATTTTCATTTCGCTTTCAGTCTACTTCCTCCGCCAAATGCTCATATGGCCTGGCGGTGAATTCACTCGATGGCCTACAAGACTAAGCTATGCAGGAGTCTGTGTGTTGCGCTTGGCTTTCAATTTGTTGTAGATGAAGTTTCTTGATAACAAGAGTTGTGATGAATAGGACACTTTTCAGTGCCTTCTTCTCCAGTCCCTCAAAATAACCCCGTATTCAGCGCCTTTTTTGAATTCGAAATGAAAACATCGGGTCCTTCCCCAACATAATTTGGAGAGGGACCAGCTCTTCCAGTTATTCTAAATTTCCTGGTTCCTTAAAAAAAAATTAATGGAGGAGTTCATTGACTAGAAATTATATTCTGTTAATAAAAAAACTACTTTGTCCAGCAATTTTTCGATAGCTTTGACGGACATTTTACACATGCACTTTGTAGAAGAACAGGGTCGATAAACGTGTTTCTTTACGCAATAGGCTCGAGGGGTGTTGGCAGAATTCGTCAGGGTTTCGCAAACCCTCAAAGGTGTTTCTGTCTCGAGTAAGTTTTGCGAATTCATCCAGCCCCACACGCGATAAAATGAAGGAACGCGAGAAGGAGTCTTTACTGCTTTATTTTTGATTCATGCTTATCCATGCCTACCGGGTACAACTAGATTGTTTATTGCAACTCACGCATTTTGATAAGGGATAGCCTTGAACGACGTTTCATCAGATGAGACTACGAAAACAAACAAACAAACAACTGAAAAAACAAACATGACACAACCTTCAGAACTTGACTGGAGCTGTTACGCAATCACAATAGCGTGGCGGAGGAAACCTTGAGATTCTCATTCTTCCTCTATGATTAAGTATACAACGTTTTCTTTAGGTTACGTTCATCTAAGTCTCCTCTTTTGATTTTTAACAATGTAGCGCAGTACAATCGATTCAATTTTATTTCTAGCTATGGCAGAAAGCAACCTACCAACAACGGGAGAAGAATTGGAGATGAAAAATAACTTTCCAGCCACAGGTGAGGAAAAGCAGCAGGGAAGACTTTGTTGTGCTGATTTTGTACTGTTTGTAAATTAAGTATATCTTAATTCTGGTGTACTATTCTTTGGATCATTTCTGAAAGTTTTTAAGGAATCCACTAAATACGCCAGTTTGTATTGCCACTAACAAAGTTGAAATAAATTATCGTTATCATCTTCAACTGAAGCTTTTAAAATTGGTAGCCGCTTTGCATTAGCCCCTTATTGTTCATTTTCAGTTCTTCCACAAGTTCAAAATTCCTTCATTATCACAATTTTTGTTCCCAGCGAAATGGGAAATTAAGTCCATTTTATGAATACGTTTATACCTTAACAGTGATGAATTACCACGCACCACTAATTATTCCCCCCTTTTTTCAGGAGCCAGAGCTTGTGTCGAACTTTGCTGGTATAAAGAAGCATGGAACTGGTTGTATATGGAATTGGCCGTATCCTTTAACGAATGTTTCAAACGTGATACGAGATGCAATGCGAGTAATATTTCAAGGGAAAAATACGTTCCGGAGAGATTCTTCGACACATAATGCAAGAAATGTTCTCTTATACTGCACTGAGCAGTTTAAAGAAGCTAAAATATTCTTAAAGAATTCTTTCGATTATTCCACAAAACTTTACTCAAAAGAAGAGTAATTAATTCTCAGAGTTTGAGCTGAATACCCCTCATTTTTGTCTTCAGACGACCATTACCATGGCGACCGAACCTAAACCAATAAATGCGCTTCAGAGCTAGTTAAAACTCTCCAATAACTTAAAATCAAATCTCTAAATAAATCCCACGTTCGAATTATCATTCCAGTTTGAAAGTTCTTTCTAATACTCTCTGCATTTTCGAAACTTTGCTCATGATTTATCAACCCTTGACACGTTTTAAGATTGAAAAAAACAACAAACGTCTGCTTCAATTACTAAGGAAAACTAATGCTGAACTAATAACCACAGCAAACAGTTCTACCAATCTCAGCAACGCTTATCAAGGACTAGTAACGTGTAAAAAACGAGGTCAGTTCAAAATAGCCATCCAGTACCATCAACATCATCTAGAAATTGCTAAAGAGGTGGGAGACAAAGCCGGAGAGGGAAGAAGTTATGGCAATCTTGGCAACGCTTATCAAGGTCTAAGACAATTCAAAACAGCCATCCAGTACCATCAACGTCATCTACAAATTGCTAAAGAAGTGGGAGACAAGGCCGGAGAGGGAATCATTTATGGAAGTCTCGGCAACGCTTATCACAGTCTAGGACAGTTCAAAACAGCCATCCAGTACCATCAACGTCATCTAGAAATTTCTAAAGAAGTGGGAGAAAAGGCCGGAGAGGGAATCAGTCATGGCAATCTCGGCAACGCTTATCGTAGTCTACGACAGTTCAAAACAGCCATACAGTACCATCAACGTGATCTAGAAATTGCTAAAGAAGTGGGAGACAAGACCGGAGAGGGGATCAGTCATGGAAATCTCGGCAACGCTTATCACAGTCTAGGAGAATTCAAAACAGCCATCCAGTACCATCAACTTCACCAAGAGATTGCTAAAGAAGTAGGAGACAAGGCCGAAGAGGGAATCAGTTATGGCAATCTCGGCAACGCTTATCGCAGTCTAGGACAGTACCAGACAGCCATCCAGTACCATCAACTTCATCTAGAAATTGCTAAAGAAGTGGGAGACAAGGCCGGAGAGGGAATCAGTTATGGCAATCTCGGCAACGCTTATCGCAGTCTAGGACAGTTCAAAACAGCCATCCAGTACCATCAACGTCATCTAGAAATTGCTAAAGAAGTGGGAGACAAGGCCGGAGAGGGAATCAGTTATTGCAGTCTCGGCAACGCTTATCGCAGTCTAGGACAGTTCCTGACAGCCATCCAGTACCATCAACATCATCTAGAAAATGCTAAAGAAGTGGGAGACAAGGCCGGAGAGGGAATCAGTTATTGTAGTCTCGGCAACGTTTATCAAAGTCTAGGACAGTTCAAAACAGCCATCCAGTACCATCAACGTCATCTAGAAATTGCTAAAGAAGTGGGAGACAAGGCCGGAGAGGGAATCAGTTATGGCAATCTCGGCAACGCTTATCACAGTCTAGGACAGTTCAAAACGGCCATCCAGTACCATCAACGTCATCTAGAAATTGCTAAAGAAGTGGGAGACAAAGCCGGAGAGGGAAGAAGTTATGGCAATCTCGGCAACGCTTATCACAGTCTGGGACCGTTCAAAGCAGCCATCCAGTACCATCAACATCATATAGAAATTGCCAAAGAAGTGGGAGACGAGGCCGAAGAAGGAAAAAATTATTGCGATCTCGGAAACGCTTATCGCAGTCTAGGACAGTTCAAAACAGCCATCCAGTACCATCAACGTCATCTAGAAATTGCTAAAAAAGCGGGAGACAAGGCTGGCGAGGGAATCAGTTATGGCAATCTCGGCAACGCTAACTGCAGTCTAGGACAGTTCAAAACAGCCATCCAGTACCACCAGCGCCATCTAGAAATTGCTAAAGAAGTGGGAGACAAGGCTTGCGAGGAAATCAGTTATGGCAATCTCGGCAACGCTAACCGCAGTCTAGGACAGTTCAAAACAGCCATCCAGTACCATCAGCGTCATCTAGAAATTGCTAAAGAAGTGGGAGACAGGGCCGGAGAGGGAAGAAGTTATGGCAATCTCGGCAACGCTTATCGCAGTCTAGGAGAGTTCATAACAGCCATCCAGTACCATCAACGTCACCTAGAAATTGCTAAAGAAGTGGGAGACAAGGCCGGAGAGGGAAGAAGTTATGGCAGTCTCGGCAACGCTTATCGCAGTCTAGGACAGTTCAAAACAGCCATCCAGTACCATCAACGTCATCTAGAAATTTCAAAAGAAGTGGGAGACAAGGCTGGAGAGGGAATCAGTTATGGCAATCTCGGCAACGCGTATCGCAGTCTAGCACAGTTCAAAACAGCCACCCAGTACCATCAACGTCATCTAGAAATTTCAAAAGAAGTGGGAGACAAGGCTGGAGAGGGAAGAAGTTATGGCAATCTCGGCAACACTTATCGCAGTCTAGGACAGTTCAAAACAGCCATCCAGTACCATCAACGTCATCTAGAAATTGCTAAAGAAGTGGGAGACAAGGCTGGAGAGGGAGGAGGTTATTGCAATCTCGGCAACGCTTATCGCAGTCTTGGACAGTTCAAAACAGCCATCCAGTACCATCAACGTCATCTAGAAATTGCTAAAGAAGTGGGAGACAAGGCTGGAGAGGGAGGAGGTTATTGCAATCTCGGCAACGCTTATCGTAGTCTAGGACAGTACCAAACAGTCATCCAGTACCATCAACCTCATCTAGAAATTGCTAAAGAAGTGGGAGACAGGGCCGGAGAGGGAATCAGTTATGGCAGTCTCGGCAACGCCTTTCACAGTCTAGGAAAGTTAAAAACAGCCATCCAGTACCATCAACTTCATCTAGAAATTTCTAAAGAAGTGGGAGAAAAGGCCGGAGAGGGAATCAGTTATGGCAATCTCGGCAACGCTTATTACAGTCTAGGACAGTTCAAAACAGCCATCCAGTACCATCAACGTCATCTAGAAATTTCAAAAGAAGTGGGAGACAAGGCTGGAGAGGGAATCAGTTATGGCAATCTCGGGAACGCTTATCGCAGTCTAGGACAGTTCAAAACAGCCATCCAGTACCATCAACGTCATCTAGAAATTGCTAAAGAAGTGGGAGACAAGGCCGGAGAGGGAACCAGTTATGGTAATCTCGGCAACGCTTATCACAGTCTGGGACAGTTCAAAACAGCCATCCAGTACCATCAACGTCACCTAGAAATTGCTAAAGAAGTGGGAGACAAGGCCGGAGAGGGAAGAAGTTATGGCAATCTCGGAAACGCTTATCGCAGTCTAGCACAGTTCAAAACAGCCATCCAGTACCATCAACGTCATCTAGAAATTGCTAAAGAAGTGGGAGACAAGGCCGGAGAGGGAAGAAGTTATGGCAATCTCGGCAACGCTTATCGCAGTCTAGGACAGTTCAAAACAGCCATCCAGTACCATCAACGTCATCTAGAAATTGCAAAAGAAGTTGGAGACAAGGCCGGAGAAGGAATCAGTTATGGCAATCTCGGCAACGCCTTTCACAGTCTAGGACAGTTCAAAACAGCCATCCAGTACCATCAACGTCATCTAGAAATTTCTAAAGAAGTGGGAGACAGGGCTGGAGAAGGAATCAGTTATGGAAATCTCGGCAACGCTTATCGCAGTCTAGGACAGTTCAAAACAGCCATCCAGTACCATCAACGTCATCTAGAAATTGCTAAAGAAGTGGGAGACAAGGCCGGAGAGGGAATCAGTTTTGGCAATCTCGGAAACGCTTATCAAGGTCTAGGACAGTTGAAAACAGCCTTCCAGTACCATCAACGTCATCTAGAAATTGCTAAAGAAGTGGGAGACAAGGCTGGAGAGGGAATCAGTTATGGCAATCTCGGCAACGCTCATCGCAGTCTAGGACAGTTCAAAACAGCCATCCAGTACCATCAACGTCATCTACAAATTGCTAAAGAAGTGGGAGACAAAGCCGGAGAGGGAATCAGTTATGGCAATCTCGGCAACGCTTATCGCAGTCTAGGACAGTTCAAAACAGCCATCCAGTACCATCAACGTCATCTAGAAATTGCTAAAGAAGCGGGAGACGAGGCCGGAGAGGGGAGAAGTTATGGCAATCTCGGCAACGCTCATCGCAGTCTAGGACAGTTCAAAACAGCCATCCAGTACCATCAACGTCATCTAGAAATTGCTAAAGTAGTGGGAGACAAGGCCGGAGAGGGAATCAGTTTTGGCAATCTCGGAAACGCTTATCAAGGTCTAGGACAGTTCAAAACAGCCTTCCAGTACCATAAACGTCATCTAGAAATTGCTAAAGAAGTGGGAGACAAGGCTGGAGAGGGAATCAGTTATGGCAATCTCGGCAACGCTCATCGCAGTCTAGGACAGTTCAAAACAGCCATCCAGTACCATCAACGTCATCTAGAAATTGCTAAAGAAGTGGGAGACAAAGCCGGAGAGGGAATTAGTTATGGCAATCTCGGCAACGCTTATCAAGGTCTAGGACAGTTCAAAACAGCCATCCAGTACCATCAACGTCATCTAGAAATTGCTAAAGTAGTGGGAGACAAGGCCGGAGAGGGAATCAGTTATGGCAATCTCGGTAACGCTTATCACAGTCTAGGACAGTTCCAAACAGCCATCCAGTACCATCAACGTCATCTAGAAATTGCTAAAGAAGTGGAAGACAAGACCGGAGAGGGAAGAAGTTATGGCAATCTCGGCAACGCTCATCGCAGTCTAGGACAGTTCAAAACAGCCATCCAGTACCATCAACGACATCTAGAAATTGCTAAAGAAGTGGGAGACATGGCTGGAGAGGGAATCAGTTATGGCAATCTCGGCAACGCTTATCGCAGTCTACGACAGTTCAAAACAGCCATCCAGTACCATCAACGTCATCTGGAAATTGCTAAAGAAGTGGGAGACAAGGCCGGAGAGGGAAAAAGCTATTGCAATCTCGGCAACGCTTATTGCACTCTAAGACAGTTCAAAACAGCCATCCAGCACCATCAACGTCATCTGGAAATTGCTAAAGAAGTGGGAGACAAGGCCGGAGAGGGAATCAGTTATTGCCTTCTCGGCAGGATTCATCTCGGTCAAAGAGAGTTGAAAATGGCAATCGAGTGTTACCAACGTCACCTAGAAATATCAAAAGAAGTGGGAGATAAGACTGGAGAGGCGTGCTCACTTTGTTCCCTTGGAAGCAGTTTTGAATGCCAAGGAAATCTTATGATGGCCTTTAACTGTTATTTCTCGAGTGTAGAATTGTATGATGATATCAGGGCCAGTCTTCAAGTCAACGATCAGTGGAAGATTTGTTACCGTAATCAGCACCAAGTAGCATACAAAGGTTTGTGGCGTATAAATCTCAGTCGAGGTCAAGTTGTGAAGGCTCTTCTTGCCACAGAGAAAGGACGTGCTCAAGCTCTGAGAGATCTCATGGTCACAAAATATCTGCTTGGAGATTCTTTAACGTCCAGCGCATCCTGCATCTCTTTGAGGTGGGTTCCATCGAGCACAGTTTTCATAGCTATTAATGGACCATGCATTTACTTCTGGGTTTGCCTCAGTGAAAATAATATCCAGATGAGAGAAGTACACGTGAACAATTACAAGTATGAGAATGAGTTGGAATTTTTCATCCAGCTACTGAACAAAACTGTTCTTAAGGAGATCAGTAAAAGAGATTCTGTTACAATCGAAAATTCTCGGCTTGACTCGCCGACAGAAGATGAAGTGGCCAATGATGTGATCCGAGTTGATGTGAGGCACTCCCAATCAAGTGCTTTAAAAAGAGATACTGTTACAATCGAAAATTCTCGGCTTGACTCGCCGACAGAAGAGGAAGTGGCCAATGATGTGATCCGAGTTGATGTGAGGCACTCCCAATCAAGTGCTTTAAAGAAGCTGCATGACATCATCGTTACTCCTATTGCTGACCTGATTGAAGGAAACGACGAGATCACATTCGTTCCTGAGGGGCCATTTTGCCTTGTACCTTATGCAGCGTTGCAGGACTCCAACTCATCATATCTGAGTGATTCTTTCAGAATTCGTGTGCTTCCCTCTCTGACGACGTTGCAACTAATTCATGATTGTCCAGCTGACTTTCACATGAAGACTGGTGCATTGCTTGTCGGCGACCCATGTTTCAAACATGTCATCTATCAGGGAGGACTTTTGGTGCAGCTTCCAGGAGCAAGGAAAGAAGTGGAGATGATCGGACGTATCCTCAATGTCTCCCCCCTCAGTGGAGAAATGGCAACAAAACATGAAGTCTTAAAACGAATATCATCAGTGGCATTAGTTCATATTGCCGCGCACAGTAAAATGGAAACTGGAGAAGTTATCCTGGCACCAAACACCATAGGAGATAACCCTCAGCCGCAAGAGAAAGATTATCTACTGACGATGGAAGATGTCATAGAAGCTGGGTTGCGAGCACGTCTGGTTGTACTTAGCTGTTCTCACTCTGCTCGTGGGGAGGTCATGGCCGAGGGTGTGGTCGGCATGGCGCGTGCACTTTTGGGTGCCGGTGCTAGATCTGTTGTGGTAACCTTGTGGACAATTGGCGACGAGGGAACCCTGGAGTTCATGAGTTTCTTCTACGATGCACTTGCCAAAGGCAAGAAGGCAAGTGAAGCTCTCAATCAGGCCATGAAGTGTATGAGAGAAATTGCAAAGTTCAAGGAGGTTTGGCACTGGGCACCATTTGTACTCATTGGTGACGACGTCAACCTGGATTTCAAGGATATTTCGAAGCTGAAGCAAGTAAATATTCTGTTTTATTCTGTTTACACATTCTATTCCATACAAAGTTACATTAAATCATAATTATTGCTTATATGTTTCAGTTGGGTTACGAATTTATGTTTTGCTCTGGCAAATTGAGATGTAGTACAATCAAGAGGACACGTTTACGATGATAACATTCTTTTTAGGAAGCCTGATAGGAGTAAAAAAGCAAATTTCTTTTAAAACAATCCTGTTGTGCAATGTATCGTTTCATGTGCTGAGAAAATGTTTCATGGCAACTCAACTATCCTCCCTAAACTTAGATTCTTTTATTTTTCAGTTAAGGCAGTGAGCATTGGAATCCCAGGGAGCTTTCGGATACTTAAAAACGCTGATATTTGGACCAGAAAACAGTAAGCTACCGATGAAACCTTTGTCCAGAATCTTCTTTTCAAAGCAGGAAGAACCAAAAGACGGCCAAAGTCAAGTTTAACAAGAGAACAGATTTCCATTGATTCAAAAGTTGCCTTTTTGCTTGTCTGAACTGCTTTTAAGAGCTTAACCTTTGATATCCTTCTCAAACTACTGTTTGTTTGTTTTCTTAATTTTTTTTTCATATGATGTCTTAAAATTATCATGACGAGCTATGTGAGAAGTTATTTTTAATCTAAGTATATTCTACTGAGAGGATTTGGGCGTTACGTTTACGTCGAAGTTGAAACGTCTTGAAAACGTTTTTCACAGTTTTTTAGACTTTTTCTCGATCGGTTTAGTTTCACGAGTGATATAAAGCTATTACAACCATGTGCGTGTGTAGAGAATTTCCATAGGAATTGGAGAATAATCAGTTGTCCGATTGCTGGATTATCTTAGTCTATGTCAGATGGAAATTGTGATGAACGTTTCGAGGATTTATACTCAGTCATTGGTAGTTAAAGTCAGTTTCTACTGATCAGAATTCGGTTTATCTGGACTTAATATGACAGATTTTGGCCGTAATGGCAAGGATTTAGTCTTGGTATCAGTTAATTTTCTGAGATTTCTCCTTTAATTTTGAATACGATAAATTGTGTTACTTTTTACAAGCAGAACGATGCATTTCAAGTATATTGTTTAATCTAATCGACCAAAGGCAAAACGAGAAGTTTTATTTTATAATTTTAGTTATGGCTTACAAAGCATTGAAGGAAGCTCAGAACGAGCTGGAAAGTTAAAGCCTAATGATTTTATTTAGTTTTTCCGAGTAGATTGTTTACTTACTATCTAAGTACAATAAACTAACATTTAAATGTGAAACAATGCAACAAGTCGCCTGGTATTTTGTTGGAATGGAAGAGGAAATCAATAATTAGGGGAAGAAAATTTCCGCATCAACCTGCATAAGCCATTTCTTGTAGTTTGAAGTAGTATTCGCTTACTAACTTTTGCCCATTTCTTTGAATTGGTTTACTGAATGAGAGATAAACTTCGATATTTTCTGACTCTATAACTGCCAGTAACGATCATTGGCAACTGTTTCTTAAAATGTCACGCGACGCTCTTCTTTAGCACGTTATGTGACAGATATGATGTTTTGTCACATCTTGTCGTTTGGAGTAGTGAGCGCACCTATGTCTTATTCGCTCAACCTCTTCCCATTTCCTTGGATAGAGTTATTAAATGAGATATAGACTTCGACAGATTCAGATTTTATATCTGCTAGTTTCATTGGCAGCCGTTCCTTAGGATGTCACGCAACGCGTTTTTATAGCATGTAAAGCGACGTGATGTTTAGTCATATCGTTGAAGAGGCAAGAAAAAAGAAATTACCTTTCACTTTGGGAGATGGTGCTTTAATGTGTTTATCGAAAGCGTCCTCATCATGGGAGGTACCCTTAGTCGGTGTGGTTCCTCGAGTGTAGAAAATATTGATTGAATTTTTTCCACGATTGCAAACTTAACGAAAACAGCCTGTTACAAAAAACCGACACTTTCTTAACCCTTTAACTCCCATGAGTGACCAAGACAAAACTTCTCCTTACAGTGTCGACTCAATATCAACCAGATAAGTGATGAGAACAAAGAAAAATATCAATTTGGGGATAATTAGTTGATGCAATACTAAATTCTCTGAACTAACGTAAAAAGAACTGTATAGTGGACTGAGATGAGAATTGCAAATTTGATCTGGGAGTTAAAGGGTTAAAACTGAGGAGGGCCGACCGAGGAGAACTTTTTACGGCTAACAGTTAAAACTGTAGCCATTTTTCTGCTGCGGCTAACCGAGAATAACACAAAATAACACATTGTAGGGAGGAAATATTTTTAAGGTTAATTTTTTTCTACAACCAAGAGTTCAAAGTTGTCAATGTTCACGCCTAACAGCTATTTTTTTGACCGGTTTACGGCTAACGGTTAACCCCATGGAGACCCTCGACTGGGTGACATGCAAGATGTGAAATAAAAACGGTTTTAGAAGGTGGCATTTGCAACTCGAATTTAGAGTGCTGGTTTTTGAGGAGTAAGGAAAACCGGAAAAACAAGTCGTGGAAAAATCCTGGAAGTAAGGATCAAGCTGGGAGAGACGGGCCTGGGGAGAGCGTTGTCGCTACGCATTCCTGTTATGTTCAACCTGAGATTCTTAATGAAGCTAAACGCGAGATATTCACCGAAGTGAAGGTGAGCAAGGATAAATTTCCTTCCCCCTTTAATTTAAAGAACTTGTATCGGTGTCCTAACGGATTTGGTTACTAAGCGATAGCATTCTCCTTAGCGGTCTAGTAAAAATGGATGATACTTTACGTTCCAGTGCGTACTAAAGAGTGTTTTTAATTCAAAACATGCGTATCGTTAATGCATACGAACTGGTGGCTGGAAATGACGTGTCGAATGTTTCTTTTGACCAAGGGAAAATGGGCAATAATTTAGTTTAAGGTTTGGAGAAAGGTTGTTTTTGAACCTTTTCTGCGATAGTCGAACATAAGCTGAGAATTCCAGTAGTTCAGAATAGAAACATTTTTACTTATCATAGGCTTTACGAACGATTTTTAGTAGTAGTTGTAGTTTGTTTTTTCTGGTTCAGAAACTGTTCAATGTTATTATTTTAGAAAATCAGACTGAGTTATTTTTATGACTGGATGCAATAGTCTCCACTATTGTTATAACGTATCGTAGCAATGTTGATTCGCATCAGAAGAAGCAAATTAAAGATTTATTGTAAAAATTTCAATCGTTCGAATGCAGTAGTTTGTTCACATCTAATTCTTGCGTATACCGTACGACTCGCTGTAATAAATGCGGCAGAATTGGAACGAAATGGCTGGGTTTTTTTTACCTTTATTGAGGAATGTTGTGTTGTGATTGAAAAGAACATCGACAAAAAACTTGCGAACAAAATTAGTTACCAAATATGATACAAACGATGTTTAAAAGGAAAGCTTGGTAGGGGTCCAAATTTGCGAAGGGGGTCCATATTCGCAAGCGGATTTGGACCGGGGGGTCCAAATCCGCGGTGACACCGGATCCGAAAAAGTCAGTAGGCCGTGACATTTTGACTTCACCCCAGATCTAAAAAACTGCGACAACGTCGATGTTTTAGCAGGAATTCGCTGCAGACGATAGTATGTATTACAATAATTTAAGAAAAAGGGCCATGGGGAGGGAGAAGTGGGTCGAGATTCCGTTTATCCCCCCCCCCCCGGGCTGAGACTGAGAGTGTGAATAGCTACGTGTTTTCAACGGTAGCATCACAGGTGGGGTTCTCAACAATCTTGGAGCTGCGTTTTCAGAAGGTAAAGATAAGAATTTCCCTGAGTAATTGCTGGACTTAGGCTTCTTTCGTCTTCTTAGATTTTCTATTCGTGCTTCATAACTCTACTCCATCTACCCACCTTACGGCGGTTTTTTAGTATATGCCACACAGGTGAATAGAGTTCTTCGCGTGGGCTGATTGGCTAATTCGGAATTAATAGTCGAACCTGTATTAAGCGGTCGGTTGTAAATTTCCCGAATTTTTTTCCTCTTATACATTGTCATTTTCACCGCTTTTCAGCGGTGGTCTCTATTCAGCGGTTGTGGTCATCCTTGACTGAGTCCCATCAGCCTGTTCGGGTTGTATGGAACAGTCACTTAGGGAGGAATCACTCGAATAAAACGACGAATTATCTCTGAAGTAAAATTTATTCCATATTTGTCTCCCAAAATCAACGTTAGTATTTAGAGTTCAGATGTCCTTAACGAATTGCAGATTATAATTCTTCTATAGGACTGTTTGTATCTGACAAATATTACACAAGAAAATTACACAAGGAAAATCATTTGATGGTTAATTACTAAGAGGTTAATTGTTAGAATTCTAATCTATTGTTCTGTTTTTATGCTGTACCATCATTTTGTTGATGTTATTTGATACATTATTTACATAAACTCGACATAAATTAAATGATGAATTATGTTATTAATGAAATGTTGCTTTCTTGTCTTTTGTTGGTGACTTTTATTAAACCGTGATAACACTCAGTCACGTATATTTTACTAATTAAAACAGAGGAATCTTTTTTTTCCTGCTATTCATGTTGAATGCTGGACTGCTGTGCGGGTGGGTAAAGGGGGTAGGTTTCTAAAGAAACTGTGGTGCTGCATCAGGGGGAGAGTATAGCAATGTAATTTTGTATTATTAACTGAGTTTCCAGTGTTAGCCCCTCATCACAGTGGTTGAAGGAGTTGTGAGTTGTGTGTGTATATAAATGAAGAATATGGAGCTTCGCTATTGGTGGGAATATGGTGATGAGAAAGCAAGAATAAATTAGCTGAATGAAAAGCGTTTGTTGATACTGTGAGGATGAAAAGTGCCGATCTGAAAGGTAAATCTTTGTTCTGGAGTTTTGCAGACCTTCGGACTGCCTAGATGTAGGGAAAGTGATTAAGGAGATTAGATTGTCTAGCAACCGGTTTTGATGTGCTTGTGTCATTTCTTTCTACATCGCAAAGGTGTTCTTGCTGTGCAGGTAGTTGAGAGTTGAAGCCCCAGACCACAACAACAC